TTTGCATAATAAATGTAAACAAACAGTGTACCATCAAAATAGGCTTTATAAAAAATATCTGCGAAATCCAACAATGGATCGTCAATCAGTTTACAAAAGTTATAAAAACAAATTAAATCATTCTCTGCGGACAGCAAAACGCCCTATACTATGAGAAGAAATTGAATAACGTTCAATCTAATACTCGTGCTACTTGGAAAGTTTTAAATGAAATTCTAAACAGAAGCAAAAGAAATTCCAATAGATGCTCAACATTTAAAGCTGATGATCGTGAAGTTACTGATCCTGTCGAAATTGCCAACAAGTTTTGTAGTTATTTTTCAAGCATCGGTCCTAATTTAGCAAGGGGTATACAGTCGTCAGCTTCACACCGTTGTTTTCTTAATGGTTCCTTTACACAGTCAATATTCTTCAACCCTACAACTCAAGATGAGATCACTGAGATTGCGAAAACTTTTCTTCCAGGCAAAGCAGCTGGCTACGACCAGATTCCAATGACAGTCATTAAGGAGTCCATTCTACTTGTTTCTGAACCACTCACCCATATCATAAACTTGTCAATCCAGCATGGTATTGTTCCCGATGAAATGAAAATCGCTCGCGTGATACCTATTTTTAAATCTGATGATCAGTCGCTTTTCACCAACTACCGACCTATCTCGGTGCTTCCCAGTTTTTCAAAATTCTTTGAAAGAGTTATCTACAATCGTTTAATGCAATATCTGATGAACTTCAACATCCTCTGTAGTAACCAATACGGCTTCAGGAAAAATCATTCCACTGCACTCGCGCTAATCGACTTGCATGATAAGATCTCTACTGCCTTTGACCGAGGTGAATTTTCCGTAGGTATTTTTCTTGACCTCTCAAAAGCCTTTGACACTGTAAATCATATCATCCTTTTTGATAAACTCGAACATTACGGTATTCGTGGCTTAGCGCTGGACTGGATAAGTTACTTTTCAAACAGAAAGCAATATGTTGAATATAATGGCCACCGTTCGTTAAGAAATGAAATCTCTTGTGGGGTCCCTCAGGGTTCTATCCTCGGACCTCTATTTTTCTTACTGTACATTAACGACATCAACAATGCTTCTAATCTATTAAATCTGATATTGTTCGCTGACGATACCAATGTATTCATGTCACATAAAGATCTGAACTATCTCTCAGATATGTTAAACTTGGAGATGGACAAACTGTCAATCTGGTTTAAAGCAAACAAGCTTTCTCTAAATCTTAAAAAGACTAAATTTATGGTCTTCAAACCAAGACAAAAGCGTTCAATTTGTAATATTCAAATAAGTATAGATAATCAAAATATTGTTAAAGTAAAGGAGACAAATTTTCTAGGCGTAATTTTGGATGAAAACCTAAATTGGAAGTCGGAAATATCTCACGTTGCAAGTAAAGTTGCGAAGTCAATCGGTATAATATCTAGATGCAGCTTCTTTCTTCCTAAATCGTCTTTACGTATGCTCTACTATTCCTTAATTCATCCTTATTTTTACTACTGCAATATCGTTTGGGCTTCGACCTATAAAACTAATCTCCGCCGACTTGTTATCCTGCAAAAGCGCATTATTAGAATTATTAATAAATCACATTTTAATGCTCATACTGACCCCATCTTTAAGGACCTCGGTATACTAAAATTTAATGATATCCATTTGCTTCAACTGGGCCAATTTATGTATTCTTGCAAAAATTCATTCTTACCTCCAAAGTTTAATAACAATTTCTCTCAAAGCAATCAATTCCACTCTTACAATACAAGAAATTCCCAGGCCTACCGTCTACCGTATTGTCGTACAAACACAAAGAAGTTCTCGCCCTTTTTCAAGGGCCTAAGTTTTTTAATTCACTTGACAACAAGATCATCAACTCTCAATCCCTCTCCTCTTTTAAGAAAAAACTGAAGATTAAATTATTGAGTAAGTATGAAAACAGTTTATAAATCTTTCCATCTTCGACTTTTCGCCTTCTTCTCTTCAATTGATGTGAAACAGCTCTAGCTCATAGTTCGAGGAGGCCTAACCTCTCATAAGCTCCTATAGTTTCTGTTAGGTCTCCTCGCCACTTCTTTTTTTTTTTTTTTCTTCTTCTTTTCCTATATTTTTTGTAATTAGTGTGGCAAATAAAATAAAATAAAATAAATAAGGTGGAAAAAATCAGAATTCAAACCGATTGGCGTAATTTTTTTTCCTTTGTATAACTAAATGATAGAATATTCTTATTTTCAGACCACAATCTTACTGGCATCATTATATTGATTTAAATTTATAGTTGAAGTGCGTGTATTTTATTTCTTAACGAAGACGTACCGGAGAAGAAAGCTAAAATTACTGCAGAAGGCGATTTTTCACAGCCTTCATCAAAGCGCCATTCATTTGCGGAAGTATTCTTAGTTTCATTAATCATTAACTTAATTTGGGGAGAAAGGCAAGATTTCGAGATAAACAAGCCAGAGAAAGGGCGAAAAACAGTTTCACGGCAGAATGGACACTTAATTAACCGCTGTATTCCTGAAATGATTAAGTTCGATTTTAGAGTTATACTAATGAGAAGAATTAAGTATCTATAGGATAATTGTTTAACGAAAAACTGTCATACTGACCTTTTCCTCCTGCTCAAAAAATGTGCGCGAAATGTTAGGTGGTAAGAACATTCAGCCGCCATCTTGTCTTCGATGCACTGTTTTACGAAAGGAAAGACTGTCCTCTCAAGGGCTACAGCGAGTCTACAATAAACTCACTTTCATCGTAGAAATACCTCGATACCTTAAATAACATGTTTGTGGAACGTAGCATCCAATGTACGTCATTCAGCTCCAGAAAACAGCCTGAAAATGCTGGTACTGAACGTAAACAATTCACAGAAAGTGCCTCTGTGGCACTTCAACAGCCCCTATTGACGCATGCGCATACAAAATGCCCTCCTGTTGGTAACAGGTCAAAATGAACCATGCAATATTCTCATACATTCTCTTACGCAATTCAAATTCTAACTCCCATAGCCTGGGCAGCCCATGCTTTTGGCAGCATAAAAGCACTGTAAGCTGTGGGACGGACAATTAAAAATTAACGGAGGTCGTGGTGAGGAAATTTTTATTTAAGTTACACTTTAAAATAAAACTTTGGGTCTATTGCTAAAATGATGCCTAATTTAAAGACAGTTTGTTACAAGAAAAGGAAATAAAGACAATGGGACAGAAAGGGAATCTTAGGGGACCTTAGAGCGTTGGCCGGGATATGGGAATTTCACCAAAGTTATTTTTAGAGGTTGTAATTAAACGGAAGTCTAATTCCTGAGGCTCTGCAATCATTAAAATCGACTGTTTGAAACGTCATCAAGTCCATTTATGACTGCCTCAAAGAAAACAATGTACAATACAGTATATTGTAATGACGACTGTTGAATTCTCTCAGGACAACACTGAAGAAAAGTTTGCAAACCTTTCTGGAAACTGACTTCCGATTAATATCAAGCGTTCAATTGGTCTAAAAATAGCTTTGGTAAAATTCTCAAATCCCAAGGTCTACACTGCATGACCTTTCTCTCTCTGTTCCATTATTCTCTTTTGCTAAAGTATTATGTATGTTACACCTTTCCCGAACGCTAAGTAAGAACCAGCACACAGCAATGAATCGTCTACAGTTCCTTTCTTGAATTATACCTCATGATCATCACAGTTGCTTTGTTTATGTTCACTGGAATTTTTTTAAAATAATTGAACCTATCAATTAAATATGTAGCTTCAGTTCCATTTGACATTACATAAAAGGAAACATTTAAAGACAGGTTCTTAAGTATGCTGTTGTCTACTGTATAGCAGCAAGACTGTGATGTACTTAAATGACCTGACATGCACGGTTTGAATTTGCACATAAAATAGTCCCATTAAACCTATAGTATGCTTAAATTAAGGACCTTAAGGTTCCTACTATGTTCTCTGTCACTCCGTTAACCTTCAGAAAGTTAGTGCTGTTGAAGCTGATGGAGGTAGCTTCCCAGGTACCATGCATGGGTTTTGCTCCAAAAAGAAGTCTCGCTGTCACCCCTAATACTGGAATTTCGATATAAATTCCGTTGTCTCGTAAAGATCACTGTTGATAGTTTGCGTCAATAACCTTTTATAAACTGCCTCCTCACCATCTGGACACCAAGGGATTACCTTTTAGCTTGATTAACAGCCATTCAATTTAACATGTCAACTTCTGGATACCTTTAGTCCACGTGTGGATAATCTCTTTATAACATCTTTGTGGACTTCCAGATCTATAGGCGTATTGAGTTCCATTAACCTGTCCCAGCAGGGAAAGACCCGGGGGGTACTCCCATACATTACCTATACGGGTATGTGCCCAAAGGGGTCGTGATTTTGAAGCTCCTGATTTAGAACGGGGTATCCATTTCAGAGGCGTTTTCTAGAACGGGGTATAATATTTCGAACGCACGAAAGCTCCACTTTTGTAAGCAGCCATTTGAAAGTATTCAAGGACAGAGTGCTTTTAAAAATACGGTTTAATGCGTTAACAAGCAAACTGTTGTACTCTTGTTGCACCCTAGAACGGAGTATAAAAAATTGGCCCATTTCTAGAACGGGGTATCAGTTTTAGGGCGAATACTAGAACGGGGTATAAAAAATTGGCCCATTTCTAGAACGGGGTATCAATTTTAGGGGAAATTGTTTCTAGAACGGGGTGCCAATTTGGAGTCCCGGGCGGCACATACCCACCCAAAAAATACCCAAGTGCCCTCCCCGGGGGAAAGAAAGGCAGGTGAAGCAGCTTTGATGTACTCTATGTCATCATTACATGTACCAGTTGCGAGACCAACTATTTTCGTTTGACATCTCGTAGATGAAACCCTGTAGTGTGACCAGCGGTTGACAAGCGGACACAGAGATCAGAGAAAAGCGACGACCGATCCAGTCTTTCGCGACCACATCACATTTGGCGCCAAAACTCACAAAACACAGCCCGTCAGCAGAAATCAAAATGGCCGGCAAAAAGGGTCGTAAACGAGGCGCAAAGAAAGTTCTCAAAGACGATAAAAATGAAAGAAGCGCTTTCACTGAAGAGAAGAAAGCCAAATTAATCGATGAGCAGAAAAAGCCCGACGAAGAACTGTCTTCAGACAAACTGGAGTCATGTCTGGAAACAGTTGACGAGTGCAAAACAAACGCCGTCGACTTTTTAAAGGAAGAAGAGAGCAAGTTGAAGTATGTTCCACCGTTTACTCGAAAAGCAAAAAGGAGTATAAATAGAACGGGAGTCCCTGTTTCTCCAGTTACAAAGCCTTTAAAACGTCCCTGGAGAGGTGCAAAACAATTTTCCAAGGACGCTCCGCTTGTAGAGAGGTCACCGCCTGTTAAAGACGATGAACAAGGCAACGGGTATCAAAACTCACAAAAGGTTGTTACTTGTAGAACCTAACTAATATAAGACTTACGTTTTGTTAATGAGACCGCTTTATTAAATGGCGTTGAAACGTACCACCCGCAGTGACATATAAAACGGGGGGAGCTTATAAACAGCCCGACTTTCTCTTTGCTCGTTTGTGCGTTCGAGTAAAAACTTACCATTAGTTACAAAGAAATCCATAATGTTTCCTTGTTTTCTCAAGGGAGGTTTGTAAAAGCCACAAACCCGTTGAGTATTTGAAAAATATTACAGTGTGCCCTTCTTTATCAATTTATTTGTATTTCCAACAGTGCCAAGGATTATTCAGCCCTTCTCATACACCGTAAAGTAGTTTTATTACAAATTGAATTCGAAATCTAACATTTGTAACGAAGGAGAAAAAATTCACAAGGTTGGGTAGTCTATGTAATGGTAACAGGACTGAGTGGAGTCCAATTCGGTCTGTAATCAGACGAGTGATTAACAAAATCGGACGACCGCGTAGCGGGAGTCCGATTTGTTTAATCACTAGTATGATTACAGACCGAATTGGACGACACGAAGTTCTGTTACCAATTAATCATAACTTTAACAAAATTTGTGATATATAGGGCTCTTTTTAAATCAAAACACAAGAAATTCCAAGATTTTTTCACTAGCAATGAAAAAAAAAAGCCATTTAAGCGCGCGCGTGATGGCGCGTACTGTCCAATTACTTAGGCATGATGCGTACTGTCCTATTAAACTGTCCTATTAAGGCTGAAATCAGGGCAGTTGAGAACCAATCAGATTTGAGAATTTTGTTATAGTTATGATTAATAGAGTAATCATCACTGCAAAGTTGAACTTTTTATATTCTAAGTTTTTAGTAGCTTCCAGGTCCGACTAGTCGTTTTGTGAGGAAATTGTAGATGACAAATCCTATCACACTTGAGTAATAAATATTAGGACTAAAACCACCACGTTAAATTCTACTTATTTTTTGCATTCTGTCTTGATACAGATAGAAGAGGAGGAAAAGAAGATGAAAGAGGATGAAGAGGAAGAAGAAATTGATGTTGTGGGAATAAGACCACAGAATTCTTGCAGCCAAAAAGGGGAAAACTTTGTTCTCTGCCAAAATCAAACAACTGGAAAAGAAGAATTTCTTTTGTTATCAACAAGGGCAGAGGTACCATCTGAAGTTAAAGATGTATTACACAATGTTATTGAAGCTGTATGCAAGATCGATCACTCTAACAGCTACAAGAGTGAAGCAGGTAAGATCCTGCGATAGTCAACTTACAGATTACATTAGTGGGACATGTGTAAGGTAGCACAGAAAGTGAACTTCCATTGATGAGTTGCTAAAACTTTCTGATTTAAATGAGATGAAATATGTGACAATTAAAAATTTAGCCCTTTAATGCAAAGAAGAGAAAATTTATTAACAGCCAGTCATGGTGAGTTTCCTGTTTGAATATAATTTCAGTAGGACCTCTCATTTCTAAGTTGAATTCAAAGCAGATCTCTATCAAAATTCTTTGACAGCTTTATCTATACCTTGGTGATAGAACATTGTGGTGATACTACTCTAACTGACAAATCACAAGAGTCATATATTTTTTGTGGTTCTGACTCTCTTTTTCATATAGCAGCCCTGGATGAAACTACTTTTGGAAAGGGTATTGAAAGCTGTGTTAGTGCCCTCAACAGTTCTGCATCAATTCAGATACCTGCAGATAACAGCCATGTCAATTCGTTTGAACCAGCACCAGAAATTGCAAAGGTTGAAGTTCCTGATCATGGGTTAAATGATGTTAAATGTGATCATGGGTGGTCAAGGAGAAACATTTATGATCATTGCAATCAGAGAGATATTAGTGGCTCAGAGAGTAAAGGTACAACTCACAGCCCTGAAACAGGCCACTCAGAGGTTAATCTCACAAGTATGAATTGTGTAGATTTGCTTAGTGATGGAATGTCAAAGAAAGACCACTGCCCAACCTCAAACATAGATGCTGATCTCACCCATACAGAGACAAATTTCTCTGACAGCAAGTCAGAAAATGACCTCTTGTCACAGACACTTCCAGCAGAAGATACAGAAATGAAAAGCAATATGGTTGTGCATGTACTGATGTCAGAAGATGTGCCTGGTTCTACCATCTGCCTTGGATATCCTGCAAATGAGCTAGACAACCTAGAAAAACAGCAAAGTCCTGACCAGATGGTTCCTGCTCAATGTGAGCCTGTCACTGTTCCAGTAAGTAACACTGTTTCGTTTCATTCCTTTTGGGTGTCAAACCTTTAACAACCAACAGGAACTATATACAAATCTTGTTTCATGATAATTGCTCGTACTGTATAGCTCTCAGTCTAGTTGTCTGGAACCAGAAGATTTTCCTATTGCATGGGCAAGTAACTTTTCATACTCATCACAGGCAACACATAAACTAAGATCATGCCAACTAGTCCAGCTAAGAGCAAATTTGAGAGTGAGCCTTGTCCTTATCAGGAAAAACTAGAATTCAAGAAAAACTCTGGTCACAAAAGATATATTTCGATCAGTCTGTGTTTACCCGGTAAATCTCGATTGCTAAGTTTTATTTATTCACAACAAAACGACATGTTTTGCCTCAGTGTGATTACATGGTATGGTATTAATGAAATGATTAATACCATGACATGATACACCATGAGCCATATTACATACCATCATTAGAACTAATACAGTCAAAGGTAAAAATAAATTCACTGGCATTATGATTGAAAAGTTTTCAATAAAAAATTATCTGATTCTCAGCAAAGAATCCCAGATTGCAAAGAACTGACAATAAAGTGTCATCAGAATGGAAGAGACATGTGTCATACAAGCAGTGAAAATTGTTTGCATTTGGAAACTCCAGACAATGAAGAAGACAAAAATACGCATCACGCAGATGAAACTGAAGATGGCACTCATTGTACAGATCCCAAAGCAGGACTTGGAAGGGAAATAGAAGAATCTCAGCCCTCTGATGCACAGACAGCACTGGAAATTCTTGCATACCAAGAAAATAACACTTCAAGCATAAGGGAGGGACAAACAGTGCCAACAGGTTCTGAATCATCTCTACAATGCAGTTCCCCTTGCAAGGAGACAGAGGGTAGACTCACTGACTCAGAACAATGCAGATCAGCTTTTCCATCAAGTGACCAGCCACCAGTTTGCTCTTCATTTGGCTCTGAGGGGGAAATCTCGGAATTTGACTGTTTAATGGCCATGGACTGTACAGATTCTCAGTTGGTGGGCCTTGAATCTTCCCCTGACCAACCATCGTGTCATAAACTGGATACCAGGTGAAAGAAATAAAGGGAAATATTAATACATCAAACATGAGATAGAGTGCTACTGCTCTGTCACATATCAAACACCAGGGGTGGCCAAGTATTTTTTATGAACATTAATGAGGTAAAAAAATTCCGGGGCTACACATTGTTAACCCTTAAGGTCCCAAGAGTGACCAACATCGATTTTCTCCAAACAACAGCAGCAGATCATCAGCAGTAAAGTTTGTGAGAATTACTAAATTGATTATCAAAGGGAGGACGCTTTGATCTTATGGCAAATTCTCTCAATATTCTTAAAAGAAATGTATGGAGACTTGTGTGGAGAATTTGTATGTGGATCTTGGGGCTTAAAGGGTTAATTGGCCTGATCACAGGTCAAGTTTACAAAAAAAGGAATAAAGTAATCTGGTGATTTTTTAGCCAAGTAAAAACAAAAATGTTACTTTGACTTTCAACGTGTCAGTGGGCCTGGTTGAGTTCTATATCTTCCAACAGTCGAGGTACTTAGACAAGTAAGATAAGTAAGCTAGGGTGATCCCCATTTCTGGTGATGGGGACAGCGGTAGGACTGAAATCATAAATTAAATAAAACCCATTTTTTAGAACAAAAATCAAGAAAATGCTTTACACCTCATTGACACCATAAATTAATCCAAAATGTACCCCCTTGGCCTCGTTAAAAAATACCTTTTGCTTTTGAAGAAGGTGATGACCTTTTACAACTTCTAGTAGTATTGATCTTACAGGCAAGCTAATCCTAGCGAAATGTCAAGTCACAGTGACGGTACAGGAAATGTGTTTAGTAAGAATGTGCCAACTGACAATGGAATGATAAAGGGACTAATCAGTGAGCTGTCAGCATTGAAGTAAGATGTAATGATGTGCATTATTGTGCCATTAGAATTTGTATCCATGATGCCAACTGTTAAAAAAACCAGCATTAGTATATCCCAGTTACACTCCTTAATAGACTGTACAGTAGGTTTACTTCTAAACTTGGACAGTTTCATTTTACTCCTACAAGCCCTGGAATGGACTCTCCAGTTTTCAGAGAGATGCTAACACAACAAGCTCAGACAACCGATGCTTTAAGTCCAGCAATCAGTGGACATGCACTTATTCCTGGGAGACAATGGACTTGATCAGTGGAAGCCTATTCCTGCAAGTCAAAGGAAATCATTTTTTGACTCTCCCCAACTCTCTCATTTTTAATGTGCAAGATGGCAGGGGAACATAAGTATCATCACTTGCATGGAAAAATACGCCCGGCTTTTACGCCTGCTTTGCAGGCTAGATGGAGCCGTGTATAAAGTATTGAAATCTCTGTGAAATTTAACTTGAAGTTATATTTTTGCTTTCCTATAAGTAGGATAAGAAGACAAGAAAGTTGTCTCACTCAAATAAAAAATGAAATAAAACCTTTGTATCTTTTCAGCAAGTTTATAATGGGGGCCTGGAAAGATCTGGAGAACCAGAAGAAGCAGAGACAAGCACGATTAAAGTTGGGCAAGGGGAAAAAGTTGAAAAAATAGACATGGAAGAATGCGCAAGTCATCTGGAGTTTTTCAAGTTTATATTTTAAGAGTTCATTTTAATTGAAATAGAAACTAGTAATTGATGGTAATAATACTAGTTGTTTGTTTTAGTTATGATACAAAGTCACTTGATATTGTCTACAACTCAGAATGCAATATCACAGTTAAGCAGCTGGGCTAAATTATATAAGTTAAAGTTAGAGGATCGTCTGTTGCGTTTGACTGCTGGCTATATCTAGTCTTTACTTGCCCATGCATAAATACAGTTTGATAAAATGTTTAATATCAGCTTAAAATAAACTGGTGGTGGTAGGGAAAGAACAAAATTAATATGAGCTTCACATAAGTTTTCTAAGTACTTTGAACTTTCATCGCAGTGTTATCAATGAATTCTTTGATTAAAAGCCAACACAGTTTTGCAGATGTTAAAAAGGTGCGTAGCTTATCAAGTCAGAGACCTTGGTGTGTAGTCTATTATTGTTACAACATTAACAACACCATTGAAGGACATGGCTGAAATCTATTAAGTGCTGTTTCATCAACTTTTTTTCCAGTTGCTTTTCAAATGGCCCTGCTGTAAATAATTAATTTAGTTTTTGTGTTAATTAAACTGCATAAAATTTTAAATGTGAAGTTACGTACTTAACTTTAATTTTACCCTTCCTGCCAATCACCACACCAGGCAACAAATTTTAGACATCTAGAGAGTTTAGCATCCTGATTCTCAAGACAATTTGAAAACAGCTATTTGATTCTTACACCTTTAAAACAGTAATTTTAGGTTAAGTTTATTTGAAGTGGTGTTTTAGAATGATGCACTGTTAAATTAGTGTGAACTATTTTACTTATGTTTTACGAGTGATTTTACTTAACCTGTAGGATAGATAAGTAGACTAATACAATCAACTTTCTTTAAGATAGACACCTTTGGGACCAGCAATACATGTCCCTCTTAGGGAGATGTCCACTTTATAGAGAGTCAACTAAAAGGAGTAAAGAAAGGCAGGGACCAACTCTAGTTGTCCGGTTTTGTGAGGTGTACATCTTATAGAGGTTTCCATTCAAAGAGAGTTGACTGTATGCAGTATTACACTCAAATCTCATCGTTCTCTTTTCTTTTCTTGTAGTAATTATTTGGCACTTAAGTGTTACTGTTTCTCAGGTTAAGCAAAATTACTCAAGTAGACATATCTAAGAATAAATAACTTTTATTGTATATAGCTCCACTTTTTGCAACACTTATTTTTAGTAGAACCTGATTGACTTACTGTAAATCTTCTATTAAGCCCCCCTGGGAGGGGGGGGGGGGCTTGTTTATTACAAACACATTTGAGGGAGAAGGGGAGTGGCTCAAATAGAGATAGGGGCTTATTTGAGAGGGGGGGCTTACTCAATTTCGCAAAGAAGGTATCAGTTCTCCATAAAGAAATAGAATGCAGTGTGGAAAAGCTCAAGTATAAGACATGCGAGGTCACAAAGCCTAGGATCAAAAACAAATCCGAACTTCCAGCTTTGTGAATAAACCATCCACATGACGTTTTACAGTGCACTACACTCCTGACAGTCATGATTGATTAACAGAGTCTATCATTTATCAGTGAATAATATCAAAGGAAGGGTAGGGGGGCTTATAAACTTTCTTGCCCCAAAAAGGGAGGGCTTATTAGAGACGGGGGCTTATTTAAAAGGGAGGGCTTAATAGAAGATTTATGGTAAAAAGTAATATTTTACAAGAATTTTGATGTGCGATATTTAAATAATGGCAGGATCCACTTTTGCACCAGCTGTGAAAACTAATTTTGTATATTCTACAACCAGTTATCCTGCTGGCAGAGGTTTCTTTCCCACATGGTTTTTCCTGAGAGGTTTATTACAGGTATTAGTAAACAAGCCAACTGCATGGATGTCTATGACACAAACAACTTTGTAAATGCTACAAACCATGCTGAAGGGAAACTCTGCTATAACAGGGTACCAACTGATATTATTCTGGTTTCTAATAAAAACATTTTGCAAAAAAATAGTCGTATTGTTTATTTTTTGACTGTGAATCAGTACTCAATATTATCTTATTTACATTACAATCATTCAAAATTAAGAGATTTCTTTAACAAAAAGGTATTTGTAAGTTACCAAGTAATACTATTTTGGGATACTTAAATAAAAACAACATGATATGTGAAGGAAATGAAGCAAAGTAGAGCTTATGAGATAATGTGATGTAAAAAAGTGTGTCACATGGCACAGAAAAGGTGTTTAAGATAACACATTTGCCTTGTAACCTGACACAAAAAAACATGACATGGGTGTGTACATTGTGTTGAAGGTTGTAACAATGTGATGTGTCAATAAACTAAATTCAAACTTGTCTTGCACACTGAAACCTTTTTTTGTCATCTTCCACTATTAAGTGGAAAGAAGATGACAAACAACTCTACTATCCAAGAGGTATTCTGGCAGCCTACTGTCCTTGGGTTTCTCTATAGGTCTTGCTTATGACTATATGAACTGGAAACATGACTCTAAGCAGTAACAGCATTATATAAACAACCTAGATCACAACTAGACGAAAACGTTGTTAGATGTTAAACAAAAATTTCAATTTTTTTTAACTGTAAAAAATGTGATTAGTCCTACATGTAGTTATAGTCAACTACAAGGAACAGCTATAGTTCATTAATACATGTAAGCATTGGTATTTTAAATTTCACTTCACTTTTTAAGTTAGTGTAAAACAAACTTCAGTGATTAAATAACCTCAAAGAGTGAGATTGCGGGAGCAAGTTATGAAATCAAGTTCCTTGCTAGCAGAGGTCTCTCACGGCAAGAGAAGAATTATAGGAAAGAGAGAGACCTGCCAACCTCCGACACATTCTTTCATCTAGCTGCCGACCACATTTGTGGCTGAAACTTAATGGTTTTCAAAATTGGTTTCTCTTTTTGAGACTGCACGCTGGAAATTTCTGAGCCCACAATTGTTATCGCGCAAACTGGTTCTGTAAGTTGTGTCACACATGACTAAATGTTATTGGTCATTAAGGAAATGCCAGTGCATGCATGAATGATTAAAAACTTGCTTCAGGGGGAGCAAGGGTGGTGCAGTGGTGAGAGTACTCGCCTCCCACCAATGTGACCTGGGTTCAAATCCCGGTGTTAAAGCCACATGTGGGTTGAGTTTGTTATTGGTTCTCTCCCTTGCCCTGTGAGGTACTCTGGTTTTCCCCTCTCATCAAAAACCAACAACACTTCAAATTCCAATTCGATATGGAATCCATGGACACGTTTAAATGAGTTCATAAGAACTCATAATTATTTCGTGGGTAAACAAATTACAATTATTACAATTGCATCAGAGGCCGGCAGAGGTCTCTTTCTTTCCTCTCCTTTTTCTCTTGTCATGAGAGATCTCTGCCGCAGGGAAGAAATCAAGTTTCCAGTTGAGTAGGTTTCATTTTGCGTTCTGAAATCTATTCCGCAATAATGTGTTTGTTTAATTGCATATACAGCTGTATGCATATACAATATGCTGTGGGCATATTGTGACAAGTTCTTTGCCCGTGAGAAGTAACAATTAACCAGTACAGTAGTTGTCTCATTTGCTCACATCTTCCTGCTTGTCACCATTGGCAAGAATGCTGGTTAGACAACTAAAACAAATTTTACTTAAGATTATCAACATATTTACCAGGGTAACTTACTTGGAAACTGTTAACCAGTAGGGCTTAATAATAATATTGATGACTGTTTTCTATATATGGCTCTATTCAAAATTTCTCTTCACTTTTCAAAACCACCAGAATCGAATATAGATCATTAATACTACAAAAATTGTTCCTACAGCAGCATACTTGGCATATGCAGAACGCAAATTTAAGTAGGTTGCATCTTTCTTGTATTTTTCTGACTGAAACCTTAGATTTCCTGCCTTATCATCCAACACTACAAAACAACAAAACAATAAATTATAAATATTTCTGGTTAATAAACCAATACTGACATTTTTTGTGCATCAAATATTTTTGTCACTTTCTCCAACAATAGGCTCAGCCAATGAATTTTAAAACCCAAAGTTACCTGAAATTTGTTCGCCTCTCTGAAGAACATCATCAATGTTTTGAACCATGATCCGCTGTACATCGTGGAGTTCATCATTTAATCTGTTTAAGTTCCTTCTTGTTCTTGAATCTTGATAGTTTTTTCTTGCCTTTTGAATGTATGTATCTAAAAAGGGAATGAAATGTTATAGCAGCACGACGGTTGTAGGTCAAATTTTTCATTGGTTTGAAAATTATATAAACCAGTTTAATTAAATTTTTTCTTTGTCTGTGAACTGTTACTACCACGTCACAAAATGTTGAAAAAATTTTGGAAAACAACAACAAAAATTACACCGAAAAACGACAGATTGATTCTTAATTTCTTTGAGCTTTCACAAAAATAATGTTCCTTACTAAACCATCTCCTACTAATAGAGTCTACTTTTCCAGGATATATTGTTAGAAAAGTAGAAATACAGTGGTGGATCCAGGGGAGGGCCCCTGGATTCGCTGCTCAGGCTCCCGTCCAACCTTTAAAGCACCAAAGTAAAAACTAGTGTGAAACCTTTGAAAACCTTTTTGCTCCATTGAGGAGAACTCTTTCAGGGATCTTACAGTTTAAAATTTGAACCATGATATAGCTTATATATAGCGGAGTAAGATACGACTCGGTACAGTTTATGTTCAGCAAGGGAAAATTGTGAAAGTTGAGCAGAACCTTTAAAATGTACAACAGACAATTTATTCAGTACGCGTGTATTCCTGTAGAATTTGTGGCCCGTTTATGAGGTTTGTCTACTCAAAAATATAATAATTTTTCCATAGCTGCTGTTATCTTATGGGTATCTGCTTTTAATATCTCTGTAAAGTTTAGGTTTACGCGATCTCAGAGAACAATGTTCAGCTGTACACAGCACATAGCCTTTAAATATATCCAGATCTGAAACTGGTTTTGTGTATTTATCATGTCTTTAGTAGAAGCATGATTAAAATACATTATGATGCTGTGTCCTTTGAATGTCGTTTTATAACTCAATCGCTTTGTAAATGTGACTTGTAGTTTTAATATCAGAGGAGAGTATGTTAAAGCTCGTTATTTTCCAATACCATTAGCATGTTCTTTTTTTACCAATCAATTGACTGGCTTCTTTGTGCCACTACATAATGTCTGCAGGTCATGTCTGCAGTTAAATATAAGTTTACAAGCAAGACCGGCCGTTTTGAATCTTACAATTCTCATCAGTTGCTATGTGGTGGAATGGTTTAGGTGAACTCTGAACCATTTCGTATTGCTTGATTTGGTAAGCATTTATTGAATCCCTAATTTGTGTTGGGTGTTCTGTGCATTATTGGGTTACCTGTGCAATTAATAAGGGAGGTTTTTCTGAGATTTCATTTTCGTTCGTCGTCGTCGTCGACACACATTTGCCTCGCTTTGAGGCGTTTGCTTAAGTTTTGCCTCACTTTGACGCGCTAACTCATGTGGCGATTCTTGGGCGCTTTCCATTTACGAAAAAAAACGGCAAATTTCGGTGGTAGCAAAAGTGGAATTTCCGATTGGTAAAAAGTTGTTCCATTTGGTCGTAAACCCCGGTACGTGGCGCGGTGCCCAACCGTGGACCTGGAACTGGTACAAACTACGAGAAACGTAAATGGAACACGACATTCCGTTCGGAAATTCCAACCGGGAAAACGGGACCACCTTTTTAGATTTTCCACTTTTTCTGGGAATTTTCCAGTGGGACGAACCGACGAAACCTGTTCCATTTACCGCCGAACCGGAAATTCCGGAAATTTTGACTAAATGGAAAGCGCCCCTTGTGTCCTCGGCGTTCATCTTTCAAAGGTTTGCTAAGTTCGATATTCTTCGTAAAGCGTTCATCTTTTAAAAAGTTTGCTGAATCTTCGTAAAGCGTACATCGATCTGTGATTGCTGAATCGTCCAAAGCGTTCATCTTTCAGAAGTTTGCTGTTAAATTTTACTTTGGATTAAGCCTTCATATTTTTCAGCATGGTTCGTCACTGTCTTTGGAAAGTGTCTGCGACTACTGGTGCATGCATCAAACCGGGTTTAGTTCGGCGGCCGTTATGCCACAAGGTAAATTTACTGAGTTGTGTAGCTCGGCGGCCGTTTTGTCACAAACTAAATTTACGAGTTGTGTAGCTCGGCAGCAGTTGTGCCACAAAGTAAATCTACCGACATGTGAAGCTCGGCGGCGCCATCTGACCATGACTTGTGATATTTTCAGCACCGGACAAACGAACACTTTAACTCTATGTTCGTTATTAGGAAAAACTTATAAATCAGCCCACAGCAGCGCCACTCTCGAGTCACTGAAATCAACACGCTCGACCAAATTACTGGAAGAGTTATTGACCTGAGCCGCACACACGTTCCACTGAAGGCTTTGATAGGGTTAGTGCGAAGTTTGAATTCAGATGTGAAAGCTTTTAAACCAGTAAATTCAATGTAATTCATTTTGTCAACAAGTTGATGATTGGATGCTGTTAAAAATAACAGAAAAAATTATCCGAGGAAATGTTTTTGAAGAAAGAAAAAGAATCCCGGGTTAAGAACTAATCGGCCTTTGAGAAACTGCGGCCTGTAACTAAAACCAGCAAAACAAAATGTTCCATTTACACGTCCGACGCTGGCCAATATCTCCTCCGATTAAAAGCACTTGACACCGAACCATACGATATCTTTTGAAAACGTTCTTAAAATGATACACAGTTTAAACAGAGGTTTCGCTGTACGCAACCCGTACGTTCAAAATATGCCATAATCATATTTATCTACATCGCAACCACCCTTCCGCCTCAACAAACATATCGAACGCACTCTCCTAAGCTCCGATTACTCCTAGTATATCCACCTTGGTTTGTTTGGAGGATCGAAAATGGTGTGGTTTGATTGGTTCCTTGCAAAAAAACAATCATGTTGCTGTTTGTTGGATCCGTGTTTTCTCAAAGCTACGCTGAATTGTGTTTTTATAAAGGTTTAAATTTGAAAAATGGGTGTCTTGCCTTGTTTTTTTGTGAAGTATAAAAACATCCTGTTTTTTCGGCGTGAAACGTTTATGTTTTGTCATTTATTAGTTAGAGCTCTGAGTTGTTTTTATAAAAAGGTTGAAATAATAGATTTGGGGACTTTGTCAAACCTAAACTTTAAGGAGATATTAAAAGCAGATACCCTAAGATAACAGCAGCTATGGAAAAATTATTATATTTTTGAGTAGACAAACCTCATAAATGGGCCACAAATTCAACAGGAATACGTGCGTACTGAATAAATTCTCTGTTGTACATTTTAAAGGTTCTGCTCGGCTTACACAATTTTCCCTTGCTGAACATAAACTGTACCGAGTCGTATCTCGGTCCGCTATTTATAAGCTATATCATGGTTCAAATTTTAAACTGTAAGATCCCCTAAAGAGTTCTTCTCAATGGAGCAAATATATGAAAAAGGTTTTCCAAGGTTTCACGCCTGTGAAGATGTGCGGCCTGTCACCTTTTCAGCTGCTCTAATACACCATGAAAGTAAAATATCAGTAGACTCGATAGTTTTGTAGTTTGCATTCTAGTGACGTCATGTGAAAACCAACAATTGTTTCCAGTATTTAAAGCATCATGATGAAATCGTTCAGTTGAAAATAGTTCCTGAATGGAAAACATGCAGTTACTTTAAGGCAGTCAAATACACTGAACATGAGGTTATAATAATATTATACATGGTCAACATGCGTACAGTTTGGACTTAAATTTTCAAAGAGATACAAATCTCTGTTTCATCTACTCAGAGACCCTAAAGTACGATTACAAGACATCTAGTCTATGCCTTGTAGTTCCGCGTACCAGCAGCACTCAAACCATACCTATTTTTATGCTGAAATTGTAATTAGAGAGTATGTGAACAATATCTGCCGTATCGACACAAAAAAATATCTTTAGATAAACTCTTTCTTACGTACATGAAGCTACGATAATTATTTCCTGTAATACAAAACTATTAAACGTTCCAAAAAAAAAAGTCTGTGGTGAAGGTCACCCATCTCAAATCTCAAATCTTTATTTTAACACGGTAAAAAAAATTCATCAGGTTTTTTGTTACAATATTAAATACAACTACATTGACAATATTTTTAAAATAACAATATTTAATAACAATAAATACGTATGTAAAGGACTAAACCTACCCTACAAACTTGACAACTTAATTTCGGAGAACAAACACGTCTCTCGTTTATGGAGGAATGAAAATAAGAAACAGTAACGTTGGGACAAAACGAAACCAGGCTGAATTTAAAGGCTGATTTCATATCCATCCACGTTCGCTCCTCGTAAAAAAACCGTTGCAGTGATAAATGAAACAGTGGAAAATTTGCAGGCGCAACAAGTAATGGAGTCTTAGTAAAACAGGTTTTGTTCCAGACCAATCATCTTAGAATCCGTTAAGTTTCAAGACCTTTCCCGATCTTTTCGAAAATACTAGCTGTACTAGCGCATGTGGTGAAGATAAACACGGGCGGGTGTTCGATGATATTTTTTCCGCCTACCAAGCCTCGCTTTCAGGAATTCGAATCCAGGCCGTTCCGCGCGGCCGTCATTTGTGAATACAGTTCGGGAGTATGCCAGCTTTATGTTTTTTCGTGTTTCCAAGACGGCCATCAAAACCCCATAAATGGGTCAAAAAAAAAAAGCGCATGTCACAAGTTTGAGCCTCGGCGTGTGCACTTCCGGTCACTTTCACAATGGCATCAATGTCGTCTGTATTGACTGAAAGAGCTTTAAATGCATCTTTAGCCAGTTTAACGAACCGATCAAATGTTTTCTTATCCATCTCTGCTCTGGTAGAATGAGAGCACCAATTTCTCAGAAGTCTTAGCTGATCAATAGCGAGTGCATACGTTTCATCGATGTTACCGTTCGCGCTAATCACAGAGGAGTGAAACTGTCCAGAAGGATTCGGTCCGCGGGGTTTTATGTACAAATCATCAAGTGTTTTAACGTCGCCTTTACTGTCTCGTGTAGCAAAAGATTTTGCGTAGAGGGTGAATTTACACAGCGCTGTAGTATCCCACTCCTCGTACGATTTGTTTGTTAGAAGTTTGATGCCTCTGTCTTTGCCAGCTTCTTTCTTACAAAGTAATTTTCTCACGGTATTAGTGTCATCCCACTGATGCAATAGGCCATATTTCTTGTTCCACATTCGTTTGAACGTTTGACGCAAGGCTTTGTGAAAAACTTTCACCACCATAACAAACTTCAAAAAGTTCCATTGCTCGTCAGTCTCAAGTTGAATCATTACCATGTTTCACTTCAATTGTAAACAAGTTGGGCCGCTTTAACCTGTAAGATGATTAAATACTTCCTAAGTTTGCATACTTGTTAACTTTTCTCATTACTGAATCGTACAGCACAAAGAAACTTGCGAAGATTTTTGTGCGGACACTCGGTATCAAATCGCGGATCCACCCAGAAGCCACTACCATGACTTTTTTACACACTTCTTAAGAATCGTATAACTATATGTACATACCTTACAGTGAACCAAAGCGGACCAATTTACTCCACGTAAAACCGGCTAACTTGTGGAACTGAGGTTATAATTCGACTGTTGATAGCAAGAAGTTAACAACGCTGCTCCCTCGCACTTCAGTGACTTCACAGTCCAAGTCAACTCTCGAAAGTGAAAGCATTCTTGGGAAAAACCCCGCATTCCACACCATACAGATCACATCCGGCAAAACAGAAATAAAAACTGCCGAGCAAGCAGAAATATGAGCCTTCAATATACTCGCTGGGATACCAAGAATGGTGAGGTCTTGTTCCATAACATAGTTATGAACACGTGACATGTACATGTGTGAAAATTACAATTATCGGCGATCAAAAAAATTTCTTTGGAAGGTTTTTTGACGGAGGAAAATTGAACAAATTTAACTTAATATTTAGGTTTGACTGAAACGATGGAAAGTCCAAGTAAAGCGTAAAAAAAAATAATATTGATGATTTTTTCAAATAGAATTCAGAACAGTCAACAATTTGTCTATTATTTATGCACCTATCGTTCAACGTTGCCTGGTCCCTTGGTCTCGGCCAATTCGTTTCGGGTCACGTGGTCTAAGCGAAGAAGTTAGGCGTACACACAGCCTGCGAAGCAGGCGTCGAAACGGGTAGCGTACACAAAAATCCACAAAAGTGAGACAAAAAGTGATACAGCTCATACGGTGGTTTGCATTTCAAGGTTTTAAACTGATACACCGCTTAAAGACAGGTGGGAAGGGAAAGCTGGAAAGAAATGCTTGTCGAGAGACCTCAGTCAACGAAAGCTTCACCAACCACCAGCCACTCCCCATCAAGCAGAATGTCAGGCCTCTCTGCCCACAGAACCCTGCCGCAGCAGGTGCTCGAAACAAAATTAATGCAGTTCCTCCTGATACCGTCGCACCAGCCTTGACCATGCAACCAACTAAATACGAAACACGGGATCTGGCCTGTATTGTTGGTTTTCACATGACGTCACATTATGTAGTGGCACAAAGAAGCCAGTCAATTGATTGGTAAAAAAACAACATGCAAATGGTATTGAAAAATATCAAGCTTTAAAATACTCTCCTCTGATATTAAAACTACAAGTCACATTTACAAAGCGATTGAGTTTTAAAATGACATTCAAAGGACACAGCATCATATGATGATGATGATGAAACTTTATTAAGGTGTCTAAAGAAGCCTCCTAGCTTTGGATAAAAACCTATGCTAATTAGGGGACACAAAATAAATAAATATAAATTAAAGTGAAAAAATATTTACATATAAGCGCAGGCATAAAAAAATTAATGACATAACAATATTTACAGTATTACAAATATGTCTATGAATTGCAGAGATGACAACACTTGCACCATTATCCATTAGTGTTACTATTATCTAATGTACATATTTTGTTTTTGAAACATTTTAAGGTGGTAACTTCTCTCAAGTCTGGGGATAATTTTCCCCAGAGATTGGGCCCCAAGTGGCGGAGGGAGTGCTTGCCATATGTTACCGTGTTGTACCTGGCAGTGAAGAAATCAGACTGCCTTAAGTTATACTTGGATCTATGCTTAATAAAAATGTCACTGATATAGGGGGGACATAGATTGTTCTTGGCTTTATACATTAAAACACAAATGTCTTGTAGTCTCCTGTTCCGTAAACTTGGCAGTTCCGCTCTTGTTAGAAGTTCAGGGTAGCTAACATTGTTCCTAAAAACAGCACGCAGGCCCCTTTCTTGCATCCGCTCGATTTTACGAGAATCACTGGCTCGGCAAAAGTGCCACACAAGGTGGCAATATGCAACGTGCAGCAATATTGTTGTTTTAAAACGCATAAGTTTAGCATTTGTCGGAATCAAGTTTCTAAGTCTCATAAGGATGCCAATTTTCTGACTGGCAATTTTACAGATCATGTGAATGTGCTCTGAAAAATTCAGCTTAGAATCTATTGTGACACCCAACAATTTGAGAGAGTCAGTTATACTAATATCATGATTGTTTAATCTGATCACTTGAGTGGCGTTATTATCGCTTTGGCCGTGTCCGATGTTCATAGTTTGTATTTAAATCATGCTTCTACTAAAGACGTGATAAATACACAAAACCAGTGTCAGATCTGGATATATTTAAAGGCTATGTGCTGTGTACAGCAGAACATTGTTCTCTGAGATCGCGTAAACCTAAACTTTATGGAGATATTAAAAGCAGAAACCCTAAGATAACAGCAGCTATAGAAAAATTATTATATTTTTTAGTAGACAAATCTCATAAACAGGCTACAAATTCAACAGGAATACACAAGAACTGAATAAATTGTCTGTGGTACATTTTAAAGGTTCTGCTCAAATTACACAATTTTCCCTTGCTGAACATAAACTGTACCGAGTTATATCTTGGTCTGCTATATATAAGCTATATCATGGTTCCAATTTTAAACTGTAAGATCCCTGAAAGAGTTCTCCTCAATGGAGCAATATGAAAAAGGTTTTCAAAGCTTTCACGCCGGATGTGCAGCCTGTCACCTCTTGCAAGTTTTTGCACAAAAACGTTGCATTCAAATGGCAATAATAACAAAAAGTTGGAAATAACAAAAATAAAAAAAAAACACCCACATTCTTTTCTTTACAAATTCTGGACTAAAAACATTTGTTGTTGTTTATTTTACTTAGGGGGCTTAGCTTTAAGTTTCAAAAGAACCATGTTACCCCTTTTAAGTCACTCACCAAACTCAATAAATGAATATGGTCTAGTTGCCGTGGGAACTCTTGAACCAAACTCTCTTTGAAACTCTGACGATAATTCTTCTAAGAAACTAAATGCTGCTCTCTTGGAGAATGTCTTTTCTGTTAAGGTCAAGTAGCATACTCCATTTTCAATAATGTAACTGTTGATAAGAGGAAAATTTAAAATCAAGCCCAACGTCAAAGAGGTTTCATTTCAGTGGCCATATACAATAGGATTTTGTCAGCAGACTCAAAAGATAGATGACTCTGTCATTCACTACTGAACGAAAGAGTTAAATCAATAAAAGCATAACCGCAGTTCAAAAATGAATTATTTCATATACTTCACATCATTTCACTCCTCACGGGAGATATGAACTCAATAAATTGACCTCGCTCCCAATGTGTGGCATCATAGCTCAGTTGGTAGAGCAACGCACCGGCAACGCGGGGGTCACGGGTTCGAATCCCGTTGAAGCCCTGATTTTTTTTCAGGCTTCTTCTTTCCAATTGCTTAAATTGGAAAATTTACTGCGATGATCATTCTTCACTTTCATCTACAACCGCAGTTCAAAAATGAATTATTTCATATACTTCACATCATTCCACTCCTCACGCGAGATATGAACTCAATAAATTGACCTCGCTCCCAATGTGTGGCTTCATAGCTCAGTTGGTAGAGCAAAGCACCGGCAACGCGGAGGTCACGGGTTCGAATCCCGTTGAAGCCCTGATTTTTTTTTTTTCAGACTTCTTCTTTCCAATTGCTTAAATTGGAAAATTTACTGCGATGATCATTCTTCACTTTCATCTCAATCACAGTTCAAAAATGAATTATTTCATATACTTCACAAAAGCATAACCATGAGATATAATGTACCATCAGGGTAGAGGGATACACTGTTATGTGATTGGCAGGGCAGACAACTTCCATAGCACCAGTCCCACATCACAGAGAATCTAAACTACTGCAGTGTATTGACTGGTAGTGATGACTATTTAGCCATATAATATGAACAGTAATTATGGTTTAAAAAATAATTATGCCCTCCACACCACATGTTTTGTTTTTGTTTTTTTTGTTTTTTGTTTTGTTTTTTTGTACAGTAGGGTTATATACATGTAAGCTTGTCATTGAAGTTTATTAAATAAAAATTTAACCTGTAGCCTATGGATTAACTACTCACTGAAACATCATTGGTCCTGTTTCAATGCTGCTTCTTGCTGGTGAATTGTCTGAGAGTTTTCTGAACAATAACTTGGCTTGGGCCTGATAGTCTTGCAAGCTGCGACTAGTCTAGAGAAACACAAAATGAGATCATGATTTAAAAAGAAGTACACTCTGTTCAAAAGACCTTTTTCCTTGCCTTGCTGTTTTTATTATAAAAAAATTGACATGCAGTCAGGGTTTCTTTTTTATCAGGCGAGCAAAAAAGTTGGGAAACTACAGAGGAAAAAATGGAACCCTCACCATTCAAAGAGTGAGGGAAGGTTGAAGGTTGGATCAATTTTCTTAAAGCATTGATAGATCAAGGCAGTATAGTATACATTTCAGTGGTTGGCTGCAAAGGGCCATTCCATTATTATTTATATCCACATGCCCTTTAACGGTGAGATTTTCTGAAGGGGTTGCCAATAATAATAATAGCCACATAAGGCTTTTCAAGGTAATTACATCAATATCATGGATAAAAAAATACACATAAAAATATAAAACATCAAAAAAACTATAATATATTCATGCGATTTTAACAAGATATCAGTAACATAGCCTCTAATTCTCTCCATTACAAAGACAAAAGTAATATAAGCAGCCCTGTCTTAAAAAAAACTGCTTACTGAGATGGTAATAAATAATGCATGAGTTCCTTATTGAATGTCACAATGTTTGTTAACTTAGTGAGCCTTTTGGGTAAGGCATTCCACAGTGAAATTGCACGGCCTGATAATGAAAGGTCCTTTGGCCTGAGGCAGTTCTGTACCCTGGAATGTCATTTGCCCAAGAGATTTTCTGAGGGAGTCAATATTAGGAAGGAATTATTATCGAACATGTCAATTTCTGAAAGGATAAGGGGAGTGTTATGTCATTCATAAAGGGATGGTGAATATTCTGATGAGGAGTGCTGTAAAACCTCTTCTCAAAATGTGGACAAACAACATTGCCACATTTTCTAAGTGGTTTAGATCAAGGGGGTTGGTTACCCCAGGAAAAAGTTTTTGAAGGGGTGTGGCCAATATTAGGCTGATTTAGCAACAGAACGGGAACGTCATTTGAAGACGGGAAAGCACGGGAAAACGACTAAACTCGACTTCTGGTGCCCAATTTGTTGCTCTGCCATTGGTCAAGCCAGTTGTTTGATTTGCGCACGCCGTCGTCAACTAACATTCCCGTCCTGTTGCTAAGTCAGCCTAATACCCCATCAAAGGGGGGGGGGGATGTGTTTATTAGATGGGATGGCCCACAGAAACTTATCAGTACAACTGGGAAGTCACTGAGCCATTTCAATAATCCTTGCTCTGTTTCACTGACATGTCACTTTGCCACTTGTAGTAATAAGTGACCAGATCCTCTTAAGATCTGTCACAGTCACAGCCAAAAGCACAATGCAATGAATGTATAAAAAACCATATATTTCAGCATCAGCTCTGTCAGTTGCATTAAAATAAGGTGGTGTGAATCCTTTTCCCTGGAGGTTTACAGGGCTTTTGATTAGGATTCCAGCCTCAGGGTATACACTATTGAAGACACTTATCAAGGGTTCAAGCAAGGACACCAAATCATCCGAGACCAGTTAGGTGGGACTTAAAATTCATTTGTACATTATGCTTCCGTGATAAGTACAATTATCAGAAAGTCTAAAACCCACGATAAGTCAAGTGCCCTTACCCAAATAATCTGACACTTTCGCATCTGTATGAAATAGGTTTAAATAAACTAAAATAAATTGAGCAGCTGATCATCTGTGACATCGTACTTGTCCCGTTTAGCAAGCAAAATTAAACACAGGCATATGCTATTTGCCGGAATCAGCTGAATGTGTACTTGAACATCAACGTTTACACTTACATCCTGGTCGCTCTGCATCGAAGCTGCGAGAGGTAAGCCGTCTATCACACGGCCTATCATTGTCATCAAAACCATTTTAACCAAATTTTGTCTTCCTGTTCTCAAAATGAAGTGGAAAGAACTAAAAATCGCTTGGTTTTCAACTTTTTCTGAACACTGTTTTTTGGTACACGTGGATTGCGCTTGCGTACTACATTATTTTGAATGACCGCTGGCTGTATATTTAAAGACGCACACTCAAAATGGACGTTCTTCTTTTCTCTTTGTCTCTCGTAAATATCGCCAGCTTTCTGGTGTCCATACTGTACATTTTGAAGAGGTTTATTCCCAAATGGATGCACTTCACTTTTGAATGGGGAAAGTCTGAGTCTGCGGGAAATTGCAGTGGATTGATTCAGATTTTACATGTTCCAAACAGGTGATTTGGTGAACTTTTGTACTCATGTATCAGATAGTTGGGAGGTGAGGGTAAGCTCACTCCATTTACTAAAACCTCATGGCCTGAGCAGGTGCAACAATAAGATTTCCATTGGATTGAGACAGGGGATAGAACTCCAAACGTCTAGACGAGGGTATCATATTTATGTTACACTGTTCAGTGGCGTGAAGTCCGTGGAACAGAAGGTCAAACCACTCCCCAGCTTAAGGATTTTTTGCAGACATATACCTGCCAACTCTCACGCCTTAGGCGTGAGTCTCACGCCTGCGGGTTGAAAACTTCCATCTCACGCCGGTTTACGCTTGCGGGCCAATTTCTCATGCCTGATTGAAAAATGTGAGTTGTTGCCGTCTTGCTTGACACATTTCTAAAAATATGTTAACTCAGACCCATGTAAGGAGCGAAAACCATGTGTAAAATGAATAAAAGACAATACCTTCCTCGCGATCTCTGATTTTGTGGATAAGCGTTTTCTCGATAACTTCGCCCTCGGCAGACTTCGGACGTCTTCGGAAGACTTCGGACTTCTTCGGGAATCATCGGAAATGATCGTGTCGTCTTCAAAAATCCCAGCACTCCCAGGATAAAAATCTCACGCTTATATCTCAGAAAAAGTTGGCAGGTATACAGACATGTATTGTTTTTAAGCCTTTCGCCAAAGATAGTTTACGCGTGGTTGATCAGTGGGTGTAGTTGTACAGCATCATTCTTTTTTTTTTTTTAACCAAAAGCCTAAGGTTTGTATGACAGAGGTGGTGCTTTTGGTAAAAAGGTAAAAAGAAAAAAGAATGGTGCTGTATAGCCACACCCACGGATCAATCATGTTTAAACATACTTATATGAAATACAAGAGAGAGGAGGAGGCAGTGGGCGTGGAGGGGGTAAGGTGGAGTAGGTGGAGTTTCAATCTCTGGCCCATGGACAACAATCAGGGCTAGGGTAGTAGATTTGTGGTTTTAATCCTAGGAAAGAGGCCCCTTTAGAGGGGTACAGTCAAGTTGAATATCAGCCTGCTGTTCTAATGCTATGTAGCTGGTTAGATTATTTGTCCTGAGTGGCTGCAAAGGAGACTAACTTATACTGGACCTCAGGAAAATGGTTGAATATTAATTTTGGGATGTACATTCACGGGCAAGTGGGAAGTTTCCCCTATTCCTTATGGCAATCAAAAAAGAACAATTTTCACTGGTAAATAGGATACTGGCTGGTGTGAAAGTTATAGTTAGACCCAGATTCTGGAGATCACCAGACTGGCTTTATTGATCTTAGAGTCAGACAGATTGTGCAACAAACAATGTGTGAAGAAATTAAAAGTGCCACCTAAATTGGAGGAAACCAAGCTTATCCCTCCCAAAAACAATGCCAGGCCCCTAAAGACCTCCAGGGGAAAAGGCTAATAAACGACATAAACTAACTATGGATGGAAAAAAGTCCACCAAAGTATGGGTTATGAAGTTTAATAGCATTTTTTCTTCAGTGTGTGAAATTACTATGACAGTAAAAATATTAAATATTTAAAAACAGAAGTGTACTGTCACCGGGCTTGTTATTGTTGTGTACGGAGATTTTTTTAACAGTTATATTATTCTTTTTTCACAGGTGGTTTACTCATTTCTATGTTGTTGGAAGTTCTTTGTCCTGTTTGTTTCTCTTGATGTTAGTTCTTCACTGTTTCCATGGAGTCACATCAGTTCCCAAGGCAATGTCTCACATACTAAGCCTGCACTTTACTCCTCATATTGACTGCTTCACTGCCTTTGTATCTCTTTTTCTTCTGCTGGTACAGACATGTCGCAGATTATATGAGTGTTGTTTTATCAGTGTATTCTCAAGTAGGATTCATATATTACATTATTTTGTGGGTATAGCATTTTACATTCTGGATGCAGCTGCAGTTGCTGTACCTTTCCTTAAAGCAGAACAAATCGACAAAGGTAAAATTAATGTGAATCTTCTTGTCAACTTTATAAAAGAAGGGAGAAAAATATGCTACTATTGTAGTGCACCTATCAATGTAAAACTGGGGGAAGCAGGGCATGGGGTACTAAAGGAAAATTTAAAGTAGTTTTTTCAATACTGTACGTGATATCTACATTTCAGTTGTTTATTAATGAGAACAGTATGTTGAATGCGATATACGGTGTATTTATCATTACGGCCCTTAAGTCATGAAATTTGAGCCAGTCCTTGTAATATGGCCAAATTTTTATGGCCAGTTAGTGACCATATTAACAGTGTTCCACTGTATCTTAAAATGTTCATCAGTGCACCGTGTGTGAAGAAGCATTCAAATACCACCTCCCCTGGGAGAGCAAGATCAGTCAAATACCCCACCCCAGAGCCAACAAAAACAATCAGATCCCCATGCCATGCCCTGCCTCTGCCCCCTGCAGGGATTACATTGATAGGTGCGTAAGTTGCACTGATAAAAATGCTATTAATAACTGTTAGAAAAGTAGGGTTTGGCAAATTATACAAAGGTGTGCTTAGAATGAAGCCTCAGGTGATGTCTGATAAACTTAAAGACTCTCCTTTCAATCTGCCTTGCATACACTTTTGAAGAAAAGGGTGAATTCCACAGTTGATCAGGAGCGGGAGCCTTTTTGGCCCTTAAGCTTATTTCACATTTCCTTGTGTTGTCAACACATCATGTGTCCACCAAGGTAGCCATGGCCTACATAAATTTCTCAACAGGAAACAAAATCCCTTGCTTTGCTCACTGCTTAATGACAGCCATTTAAAGCTAGAATTAACAACTTGATGAGAAGTTTGATTATGTCCACTGATTATTTACAACCCAATTTTTTTAGTGACTTAATTTGATAATTTCAGAGGATAAAACTATTGCCAAGTAAATTGATTTTACACTATCACTTCAAGAGATTTTTGCAACATAATCAACTTATAGAACAAAAGTGAAAAGAAACCAACACCAGGCCTGGAGAAATAGCAGCCTGCTTTTGATACTGCTTGATTATCTTATCATTCAGCTATATTTAACTGTAACTACTGCATGATAACCTGACATTGTTTGCTTGCTCATAACTTTATTTTTTTCAAAATAGATTGGTGCAATTCTTGTAGACGTCCCTTCAAAGACTTCTCCTGGTACCAGTGGCTTGCCGTAGCTATGTTTTTATGGGCAAGTTTGCATCAGTGGAGGTGTCATAACATCCTAGCAAATTTACGGCACTCACCAAGCATGGAGGCAAGGAAAGTCTACAGAATACCTTATGGAGACTGGTTTGAGTTTGTTTCCAGCCCTCACTACCTTGCAGAAATCATGATTTACATATCATTGTTTCTACTACAGAAAGCAAAGAATATTTACATTGGCTTAATCTTGCTTCTGACAGTTGAGAACCTCTCTCTTGGAGCAACAGTGACTCATGACTGGTACAAAAAGAAGTTTAAGGAATATCCTCAATCTCGATACAGGATTGTTCCATTATTGTACTAGCTGGAGGAAAATATAGACGAGCTTCAGACCAGATAACTTTACCTGCTACAGCTGGGAAATAATAATTATAATTATTTCAAGCACTAGAAGTGGATGTCCTGTGGCTTTTGGTGAAAAAAGAATGGTGTTTTACAGCCACACTTAATCAATCAAGTGCAAACATTTGTTTATTTTATTTTTTAAGTACCCTTGGTAAAAGGTTTGAAATGATGCATGCCTCATCCTCGGAGACCCAGGGGCAGATAGTGGGGGCGTGGGAAAGTCTAAACGGGCGGGAAAATATAGCACAAAGAAAAGTAAAGAACGGCGAGAAGAGCCCCTGGGAACAATGTCTTACCAGACCAGTTCTAAATGGTCACCGCCATTCTGGCTTCTGATTGGTGCCAGAAAACTTTTGTGTTTTTCTGCCCAATCAGAAGCCAGAATGGCGGCGACCGTTTGGAACTGGTCTGGTGAGACATTGTCCCCAGGGGCTCTTCTCGCCGTTCTTTACTTTTCTTTGTGCCATATTTTTCCAACCACTTAGACTTTCCCACGCCCCCACTATCTGCCCCTGGGTCTCCGTGGATGTGCATGCCTGTGAAAATTTCCGAGTGGATGATTGGGGGGGAGGGGGGCAGTGGGGGTGGTGTGGAGGTGTGGATAGGGTTAGGCGGGATGTGGAGAAGGGTTTCAAACTCTTGCCCATGGTGTGGTTTTTATCCTAGGAAAGAGGTTTCATTAGAGAACTACAGTCAAGTCAAATATCAGCCTTCTGTTCCAATACTATGTGGCTTGTTAGATCATGTAACAAAATTATGACAGGAAGAAAACAACATTGTTGACACACATTTTGAAGAAAAAAGAGGAAAATAATGTTTTTCAATGCTTTATTACAATACTTTTTTCACATATTTACATCCAAGTGAAAAACAAAGACAAGAAAAGGTACAAAAGTTACAGAATGATCATTACCATTGTACGTAGAAAAAAAGATTAACAATGAACAGTGTAAAAGGCTTAACAGAGGCAGCATTCATTGTAAACTTAAAAGAAAAGAAGCTTATATACAAAGGAATAGTGTTGGAATAATTTTGTATGGAGATGTGTTTATTCTCTCAATAATACTTAACATTTGCCTTCGAACACTTTTAAGGGTTTAACTGTCCTTGGGTGAGACAAGCTTTTGCCCACGGGCTCTCTTGATTTCAACATTAAACGTAACTCAAGACTATTCACGAAATGAAATTTTAATGCTGACGCCAAGGGACAAAAGGGTTCAGTATCTCAGCTCTTAATAACACATATTAAAGGAGCGGTGTCACAAATTACTGACCGTGAAACTGCCACCAAATTGAGTGAAAGAAAAATTATCGCGCAAAACATTAGAATAAAGTATTAATAACAAAGCAAATACAAAAGTAGGCAGGGATGGACAAACTTGAAGAAGATTAAAACGGGTTGAAATCAGTGTGGGTTTTTGAGAACTTAACCCAACAGTTTTTCAAAGTGCATTGTTGTTGTTTGCAACGTTTGATACAATGCTTGAGAGGTATATTCCTTATACAATAAGCTGTGATTTCGTCGTTTGCAAGTAACTTCTTTGTTAACCTCAAGTTTCATAGCGCATAAGGCAATAATACATGTAACAAAATGAAAAAGGCAGCCGTGACACTGCAGCCCCTTTAACATGTGAATCCGACATAGTTTACGACTTACAGTTAAACTTACAGAGCTGTGGCTATAACATATCGAAAATCGTCAAATCAGAACTCCAGCTTTTAAATGTGAAATTGCATGTTCCCTTTCTCTGTGTCAGTTATGTTTTATTTTATTATACTTTCAAAACACCGGTTCCAGTCTGATTCCTTGAGTACAAACATAATTTTTTGGCAGGTTTACTTGCACTATTTCGTTGTGATCACCTGCACGTAATTTGCTGGAAACATACCCTCTCTGTCGTTTATTTTACCGTTCCACCAGTGAGCATCACTTGTGTCTGTAATCTTGATTAAATCTCCCCTCGAAAAGGCAAGTTCGTTTTCTTCCTGACACACAAAGTCAAACAGAGCACGACCCACCTTAAAAACATGTTATTAGGATCAGAAATTAGCATGAAATAATGAGTCTACCCTCCTTAGTGATGCGAATGAAATTTCCCAACCCTCCACTGGAAATTAGCCTAAACAGGAGCTAATTTCCCGGAGCCTCCATTATCTACCATGACCTATTGAGTCAACCCTTTTCTGCTTTAAGTTATTCTTAGAACTTTAATTCCCGCAAAAAAAAAAAAATTATTTCCGCGGTCATCTGCACAAACGCTGGTCTGACTGGTTATTACTAAGATGGCGTGAAAAATATCCTGCGTAAGCTGTTCCTGTAAATAAATTAAAACGGGAAAGGATTGACTTCAAGGACTTCTATGGAAGTTGGAGACTCCGGGTAATTGGCTCCTAGCCTTAAATAGCAATCTATACCCCTTCATGATCCCCCGTGTTCCCCCTCTTAAGCCCCGTACAAACGGAAGCAACATTGTTGGATGTTACATGTGGCGTCCGTTTGCAGACCCTGTTTCGTATTGCGTGTTGTTGGGAGTTGTTGCGCAATAAAAAGTTTGAAACCTGTCCAACTTTTAGCCCTGTGCAAATGGACGAAACATTGTTGGCCAACATCTCCCAACATTGTTGGAAGTAGTTGAGTTGCGTCCATTTGCACGTTGCTTTATGAAACCGTTGGCTTGGTTAAGAGTTTTGAAATGTCACTGGCATGTTGCATGGAAACTTGGGCTTAGAATTCAGCTGTCGGGTTATCGTCCAATCGCTATAAGCTCCCTCATCACATATTACATTAACAACCGTGCACGGATGTAATGGACTAATTATAGTAACAATAGTTATAATTATAAGCACTTAATGTATACATTTAAAAAAACCTTTTTAACCATCATTCCATTTTGCGCCTTGCACTCTCGTTATTATATGTATCAATCCTAACCCTACGTGAAACGGACGCAACAACTCCCAACAATGTTGGGAGTTGTTGCGTCCGTTTGCACGTAGCTTAAAACTTAACGGCCTTAAAACACAAGACATAGACTACGAGCAGTCTCTCTTTTTAGTCAGATTTAGTGAGAGCAATGCACGCGCGGGGAGCGGCGTAGCGGCGAGACGTGCGAAAGGTCCCTTCTCGCGCCATCAGTCCCGCGCGTGGCCATTTGCGTGTCTCGCGTTTTGCTTGACGGACTACAGAAAAAAGAGAGACTGCTCGTAGTCTACACAGACATCATGTGAGTTGCCTTAATGATTATCAATGTATGCAAATGTTAAGCGATAGTCAGACACGTGAATACTCAATACCTCGTGTGCATTTATCATATCCTTTAAGTAAATAGTCTGGGATCTGGATACGCTCGCTGCCCTATGATATTCCACCAACTGGTTCAGGGAATTAAACTTAACAACCCATAAGAAGTATTTCCCTGCTCCATCTCGAAGGACTTTAAAGTGTTGTACTTGGTTATTAAACCTGTAAAAAAAGAACAACAGAATTTTATTTTGTAGATCATCTACACTTGGTGAGCTCTTGGTGCTCGTGGCTCAATCAATAAAACATACTCCAAAATGGAAGCCACTAATTCTACTGGTTTAAAAAGAGACTAGGCACAAAGCTAAAATCACTAAAGTCAAACCCCATCAATTAATACGGACACTGAGCAGGGGCACCCAACGAGGATATAGTTCAAAACCACTTAAACATAGCATTGTTGAACGTATTTTAGTATTTAAACGGTAGATATAGTGATATTCTTATCCCCTAAAAATTTTTCATCTTTTCGGATTTCCTAGCTGAAAGTCTAGTGATCCGAAAATTATAGGCTTCAAAACTTACCTTTTCGAAAATTTCAGCCAGAAAAAAGGCTCCCGAAAATTCTAGGTGACCTTTTTAAGTTAAAAATCTGTCAAAAATGGGCAATTATTCCATTTTTTAGATGTTTGAAAATCCCAGGAAGTATCAAGCAAGAAATTTTACAACAAATGTTCCGAAAATTCTGGATCTCAAATCGTCTTCCGAACAGATATTTTCCGAAAATTGACGTTGGGTGTCCCTGATTGAGATGGCCATGGAAAGTGTCCGTATTAACGGTGTGTCCGTATTAAGCGGGTTGCATTTAGAGAAATTGCAAGAGCTAGGGACAAGGAAAACTGACCGTAATGGCGAGGTGTCCCTATTAAGCACGGGTGTCCGTAAAGCGGGGTTCGACAGTACAAGAAATAGCACCTTAACCCAGTCAACCTCGTCCCTGGCCAGGGCTTTTCCTTCAAGAAGAAAGCCCTAAAAAGAAAGAAAGAAAGAAAGAAGAAAGCCCTAGAAAAAAGCCCTGTGGGACGAGGTTGCACTTTAACTTTGCTACAAAGGCTCATTATATAATTGTTTGAAGTGTAGTAATGAGCAGGAAAACTTAGGTGAAAAAAAATTTACGTAATCAATATAGAACGAGGGAGCACGTTATGTCGGTGGATAAAGTGTAGACCCCATATAACGCTCCCTCTCGTTCTTTATTTGGTGCAAAAGATCGTTTAACCAGAATTTCACAAGAATTTTTTTAAAGGCGTGATAGACCTCTCGGCAAGCACGCCGTGTCATTTTAGGAAAACCAATACGTAGCAACCAGCTGTAATTTATTCATAAACTAATAATAGTGCAAAACACATAATAAAATGGATAGAGGAACATTGGAATGAAACAGATTTTATGAATACATTACATCAATTGAGTGGTGCTACGTAGGTTTTCCCATTCCTCACCTTGCACAGGAAGCCAAACAACACAGGTGACCCATTCAAAAATACGGGCGCGGATGACAATAATGAACACAGATTTGTGGTATTATTTTACTAAGGCCTGGACACACGGACCAACTTTTGCTGCTACACTGCGCCCAAAACTTCCCCCAACAAAATGTTGCATCAGTGTCCACTTCTGCAATGTTGTATGCAACAACACGCGTAGCTGTTGCAGCAGTAGAATCGAATCCATCTTTATCAAAACCGGTACACACTGGGGGACAAGTCGCTGCAACACGACTAGGTAACAAATGTTGCAGAGACTATTCTCCCGTAGCCTGCGTGGCAGACGCCGGTTAGTTTTTTGGTTAGCTGTTGTAAAGCGCGTGGGAAACACGCAAAGGGAAGAGGAGGTCTCCCCTTCTTTTCTTCTCTCGTGCGCGCGCGCGTGTTGGAAATTTCACCCTTTGCTCTAAAAAACCGGCGTCTGCTATGCAAGCTAATTCTCCCTGTGTGGACGGAGAAATTTAGAGACGTGTCCCACAAATTCAAAATGTTTGAATATATTTGAACTCGGGGCGCAGTGACAGAATAGTTAAAGAAGCGTTGCTCCAGCGTGTACGTGCAAGACCCCTCGTGCAATGTGACCTGTCCTTGCCGTTGTGCTACAGCGAGTAGTGTGTGCCGGCCTTCAATATTCTCTGCGCTATCACGCGCAACTTTGCAGAGGTGGACACATATGATGCAACTGTGTTGTACGGGATGTTGCAGAAAGTGTTGCTCCTTGTGTTTGGGCTTTTATCCAATCTGCATTTATCGTACTTACTTTAATGACAAGGAAAAATCGCCTACAAATAAAAGTTTGACAAAAGAAATGAATTAATAACAGACCAGAATAACCAGTCAGATCAGTGATAACTTGAATTTTCACTTATTAAAGAACTAACTATTCCATATTTACTGCATTATAAAGCTGGCTAATGCGTAAGCAGAAGTTGATTTGGAATTTAAGAGATGGCAGTCAGTCTCAAGCGTGCACTATTAGAGAGCTTAAGGTGGCTCCGTAATTAACACTAGAGCATTTAGCTGTGACAAATTTTCCGCCATAACTTTTTCGATTTTAACGCGATGGCTGCGAAACTTTGCAATTAACAACAGATATCATTCGGCAATAACACGGAATATTCCGATTTCATTGATGGTAAATATTTTCTTGAGAAATTAGCGCTTAAAAGGACCCTAATGTTCAAAGAAAATCGCGTCTAGTAAAAAATTTTGCTGATATTTTTTACTGAAATTTCTGGTATCGGCTTTAATTGATATAATAAATATGCCAGAGGAATTTCAGAAAAATCGTTGGAGCAGAAGTCCGTAGCTAAAAGTCGCTCAAAATTCAGCTGTGAAATTGTTTTGGAATTTCAAAAATAAATTACTATCAGGAAGAAGGAGACACCAGTTTGAATTTTCGGGACAAGTAAATTCAGTGTTTGCTATTTCTGAAAACAAAAGCTGATTGCCTATCGTGCTATTCTTTAAAAGGTACTTTTCAGTTTTAGAAGCACTATAAATTGCTTCAAACCTTGCTCTGACGTCGAATGACTTGTTCTTCGACATTTTTAAAATATCCCTTGGCAGTTTTGGTTCAAACTCCTGCTACATACATTTTGATGTATTGCAATGCATCCTCAACGGCTTTTCCTGCTGTACGTTGTTTCCAATTCAGGAAAAAGGTATTGGGATCGTAAGCTACCTTGTATCGAAGCTCAGATAGAACTGTCCAGCACCTTTGTTTATGACCAGAAAATGAGCACGAGCGGCAGCTCTGCGAGGAATTCGCACCTCAGCCAGGGGGGACGAATGACAATGATGCCCATGTCTGTGAACGGATCTGTATAAACATGTATTGCAGAGCAAAACATAATAATCAAGAAAAAAATACCCATTCATTGAACGAAGAAGTGACAAAAATTTCAGAGTTGTAAATTTATTCGCGGGCAGTATTTTGGCGATAATTCTATTTTGCACTGTGATGTTATTCGGTTCACAGGCATGGTCATCATTGTCGTTCGTCCCCCCTGGGTGAGGTGCGAATTCCTCGCAGAACTGCCGCTCGTGCTCATTTTGTAGTCATAAACAAAGGTGCTGGACAGTTCTATCTGAGTTCTGATACGAGGTAGCGTCCAATCTCAATACTTTTTTCTTGAGTTGGAAGCAACGAACAGCAGTAAAAGTCGTTCAAAATGCATTGCAATACATCAAAACGTATGCAGCAGGAGTTTGAGCCAAAACTGCCAAGGGATATTTTAAAAATGTCGAAGAACAAGTCATTCTACTTCAGAACAAGGTTTGGAGCAATTTATGGTGCTTCTAAAACTAAAAAGTACCTTTTAAAGAATAGCACGATAGGCAATCGGCTTTTGCTTTAAGAATTAGCAAACGTTGAATTTACTTGTCCCGAAAATTCAAACTGGTGGCTCCTTCTTCCTGACAGTAATTTATTTTTGAAATTCCAAGACAATTTCACAGCTGAATTTTGAGCGACTTTTAGTTACGGACTTCTGCTCCAACGATTTTTCTGAAATTCCTCTGGCATATTTATTATATCAATTAAAGCCGATACCAGAAATTTCAGTAAAAAATATCAGCAAATTTTTTTACTAGACGCGATTTTCTTCGAACAGTAGGGTCCTTTTAAACGCTAATTTCTCAAGAAATATTCACCATCAATGAAATCGGAATATTCCGTGTTATTGCCGAATGATATATGTTGTTCTTTGCAAAGTTTCGCAGCCATCGCGTTAAGAACCAAAAAGTTATGACGGAAAATTTGTCACAGCAAAATGCTCTTGTATTAATTACGGAGCCACCTTAAGATTAACGTACATACAGAAAGAAATATGATAGAGAGAATCATGCAGTACGTGTTGTTATTAAACATCAATAATTTACGCTGACGTTTTAGTACTAAGCACGCAGTATCGAACGCAAAAAAAAAAGTAGCCAGCTAATGTGACCACGTTTGCCGCCTTAAGCCAGTTCTCCTGTTGTGATTATTCTTAACTTTAAGGCAACCTCGTTCCCAGGGTACTCTCCTACCGGTCGGGACCGGTAGGAGAGGACTCTGGGAAAGAGGTTGAATATAAGGAGCCGCTTGCACAAAAGCCGATTAGCGCTATCTATCAGATTAAATATAATCATTATCCCTCGGATAAAATCCATACAAAATCTATACACTGGCAGAAGAATTACCCTTTTGGACAACAATATCCATAGCCTTCGTGCAACTGGCTCCAGGTTTTTTTTCAGTGTCTTTAAGATACAGTTCTCCAAGATCTCACCAGCCTTCATTCTTTATTAGTTACCAATGCTAAAGAATCCTCGGTTTACCTTGGTACTTAATTTCGCGTTTTTCGCGGTTGTAAAAAAAATTGCGAAATTAAAGACCCACGAATTTAAATCCTCGCGAAATTTAAGCACCCAAAGTTTAATACCCATGTAGAAAATTCAAAGCACAGAAAAATTTATGAGTATGTAATAGCAACAACATATATAGGGTATGTATGAACACATACACAAATTGTTAACTGGTTTTTACTGCTACGTTTCATTTTCTATCTTCAGTTGTGAAATGACATTAACTGCAAAGATTTCACACATTACTTGTTCCAGTTTATCTAGAATTTTTTAAAAAGTTCAGACTTTTTGAAAACTAAATGACTTCGAGAATGCGAAATCGCAAAATTTAATGCCTTTTTTTCATATTTGGCAGTTGAAATCGCGAAATTAAGTACCCGCGAAACTAAATACCAATGAGGTAGTAAGAAAAATGTGTGTTTCTTTACCTTCTGTGCTTTCGCTGTCTCTAAGCAGAAATGCACCGTCGTGTGGTTCCTGTAGAAGCAGCTGCTCCGCTTCAGGTCGTTTTATCTTTCCATAATACCAACTTAAATAGTTGGAATAAAAAATGTTATTAAGTAAGACAACCAAAAAATCAAAGCTTAAACAACAACTGTTATTATTTTGGCTGGATGTTTGCTTTCTTGTTGGCTATGGCATTTACCAAAATGTATACAGTCGAACCTCCATGTGCGACCACCTCCCATAAGCGACCACTTTTTTATATCCAAAACACCCAATTTTCCCAGTCCAAGCATTTTATTGTTGGAACCCTCTCGTAAACGACCACATCTCGTAAGCGACGCGATCGTGACCACTTTTTGGAAAAACGGTTTTACTTTTAGAATTTTCCATGGTTTTTTATCTCTTTTAAGCGACCACCTGATACAATGGTCTGACTTAAATTGGGTTCGCGATATGTACTACGCCTCTCAGAGTATGAGAAGAAATTTTAGAAAAAACATGGATTTACAGATGTTTTAACCTAAAATTGCATGCAATACATTCTCTCCAAAAGTAGATGTGTCCGGACTTCTCCTTGTAAAAGACAGTTCCTCTTTCGTTAGGGTTAATAAGGGCTAGTGACAGAGTTCCCCCAAGACGGAGTTTTTTTCAGAGTATTTTACAGAAACTCTGTTTTGTTACATCTTCGCGTTTTGTTATTACCATTTATTGTTTTGTTGCAAAATAAACATACTACACTTGCTGAAAATAGTGAAAATTTAATAAGCACCCAGCCTCGAATAAGGGCCCACCTCGAATAATCGCCCACTCTAAAGATCCAAAAATAGTTTAATAAGCGCCCAGAGCGGTTCATCGAGTAAAGTAATAAAGTAATTTATCTGTTGCACTGGTTTTACAAAGGGTGCGCACACCGTAGTATGTTTGAAAATGTGTATTTCCATTGCACGTACTCAATAAAAACGAAAATATCATCAATGATTTCTCCGGGACGTTACGAAAATCGCAAAAATTAGTTCCCGCAAAACACAAAAACTAGCCAATCCTCAAAAATAGACTCCCGCAAAAATTTCTTGCGGCACGATTTCACCAATACCGTATCTTTTTCTTTCCCCCCATCCTTTCTGTTTCTTCCACATCTGTGTACATCTACCGAACCTTCTCATGTTCATCAACCCTTCAAGCCTACCTGTGTGGTTTCATTTGAATGTAGTTTTTGGGTACAAAACCTTCTTTTCCACTCTGCTCAGCCTTGTACCAATTTTTGTCATCGGTCATATTCAATATCTGAATAGAGAAATTAACAATTTATATTTATCCTCCTAATGAAAGTTTCTAGAAGCCCTTAGCTATAGCTACGCAGACTGAACAAGTAAGGAAGTCGGAATCGCTGCGAAATCAACGAGATAAATTCTCTTAATTATAACAAGTCTTGATGATAATGATTTGAATCGTAATCATAGAAAACCATCTGGTAACTATATAAACACCACTATATAAACACCAGTGAAATACCAAGTGAGCTGTCCCGCGAAAACATGATATCTTCACCTGTGAAAAGATCTCCATTGCTATGGCTACGTAATAATTCGCGCCTTTTGCAACGCAAAAACTGTTGAAAAGTGGCTGTAAGGGGAGTGTGTAGATTGGTTCTTTGACTTCAAGTTATGACATGATCATATTGCTTGCATAGACGATCGCGGCTGAAAAAACAGTATTTTTGATAAATGAGCATGCGCTGAACCGTAAACCTGTCCCTTTAAATCATAGTTAAAGTTATCGAGGGTAAAATTAAATAGAGATGATCATTCTGAAGGGAAACAAAAATTATCTCGAGGATTTGAGTTAGCGGAAGGTCGTGTTATCGAGAGTTCGAGTTATCGAGGGTGTAATTACTAAAATCCAGGAAATCCTGGGGAAATCGATTTTGGTTTGAGTTAGCCTTCCACGCAGGCGTTTTTAGGGGAGCTCGTATTTCTTCCCTCGCCACAAACATTCCTTTCCCATTGTTGCATTCGCGTGGTAAGTGACCAATCAACGGTTTTTAAATAAAGTGTTGACAGGCTAAACATGACTCATAAGCTTGTGATAGTGAAAAAACGAGACCCAGAACGTGACCCTAGAGTTACCTTTTTCCTTCTTTTCTTTCGTTCGCTAAGGTTATGCAGTGCACAGAGAATTCTAAAATCTGACTGAGTAAATCTTACTTTCGCCGCTCTGAGACTAACATTTATTAGAGGTCATGAAGGTTTCTTAAAGTTTCATGCAGATCGCGTGATTATCGGGTTACCCTGCGGTCAAGGTCAACTTTCCAGAATTTGGAAAGTAAAACGTGATTGGCTAAGCGTGGGAAAGGAAGGGAAAGGAATGTTGTCCTCTGTTGAGCAGGCGTTTGTGGGGAGGGAAGAAATACGAGCTCCCATAAAAACGCCTGCGTGGGAGGCTAGGTTTGAGTTAGCACGAGGATGGAGTTAGCGTTGGTTCGAGGTATCGGGAGTCATCTGTGTGCTATAACATTTGTCCTTGATTTGTCCTCGATCTTAAGGACATTATGAAAGTAGACTTTGACTACGCACAAGCAATTGTTACTACGAAAAATATCAGTTACGCGCGTTCTAATGAGACCGGGTTTATATCCGACCTCTTGAGAAGCACGAAAACAAGTAAAGCTATTGAAACCGTAGATTTTAGAACGATTGATTTAGAATTTTACCTTCAAAATTGATCCTTTCCTAAAAGGTAATTCGTCTTCGTTGGAATGATTAGCCGTGAAATCATGCAAAGCAACTGCTTCCATTATTAACAGCAAAATTCGGCGACGTGTCACTGCACCGGGTGCAATGATGTAACCGGCTGAAGTAATCTTACTCTACGTGCTTCAAACTAAACCAGCGTGCATTTATTACCATAATTTAAACGTTAAAATAGAGTTTAGTTCAGTTCTTTTGTTATAAGAATGGAAAGTTGTCAAGGGAGGATGACAAAAACAGTAGAATCATCTTTATTAAAATAAACCCAATGCTTCAGGGAATCAAATTCCTTTGTTATAGATTGGTAGAGAACTGTTGGTTATTAAGAAGCCCGCATGCTAACGACTTAATGCGATATCGTTGAAACATTTTGTATGCACTCTCAGAAATACTACGAAAACTGATTGCCTGTCCCTTTTGTTGTTGAAAATTATGGAAGAATTCCAGGACAGTACTTGTTAAATCCTGTTTCTGAATTTATTATATATATGGCGACGATGAAGAATAATACGATGCAATTTTTACCGTACAAAAGTTAGGACCAACATGAGAAAGATTTACTTTTAAGTGACGTGCTCAGCTTCAGTTTTTTTTGGGGGGGAAACTGTTCGCTTGTCGCTAAAACAAATACTAAGCTCAAACCAAGGTAAGAAACTTTATTTTGCAAAGCCTGTTTAGACCCTTTCCACACATATCCGCTTTTTATTTGAAAACGGAGAAACCAAAAAAAAAAGTTTTTAATGACGAGTTTATTAGAGTGCAAATATAGTGTTTGTACACACGTGCCACTGAGAGGCCGTTTCATGTGTTCTTAGCCCATTGATTCGACCAGTCGAATACAACCAAAAACTGCCAAAAATTTCGCTTCTTCCGGTTCCACTGCCACACTTGAGTCGCTAACAGTAACCTATGAAAGAGTATGAGTTGTTAACTTATATGCAAAGACAAAGACAAAGACTTCTGGGACTCAGTTACTGGGGACAGGGAAAACAAATTGGCAAATACCGTAAAATTCCGAAAATAAGCCCCTCCCTGTATAAGCCCCTCCAAATATAAGCCCCCCCAAACTGGCAAAGCAAAAACCCCTCAGTTAAATCGCCCCTCCAAATATAAGCCCCCTGGGGGCTTGTACTAGGAAAATTGCCCCCAAATACAAAGTAAAAAAAAGCAAAAACGGTAAATTTGCCTCCAACTATAAGGCTAGCCCAATCGATTTTGGAAACGCAAATTTCCCTCCTTAGATAAGCCCCTCCGAATATAAGACCCTCTAAAAATAAGCCCCTCAAAAAAGGTCTTTGAAAAATATAAGCCCCGGGACTTATTTTCGGAATTTTACGGTAGCTCAATAGCGCGTTCCCAGTAATGGTCCCTAGAAGTATTTGTGAAAGTTAACTCTGCGCCCGTCTTTGTTCTCGTTTTTAAAGTGGAGAACTCGAGCCGGAACAAATCGATAAGAGCCGGTAAAAATTAATGCGAATTTTCTTACCAGCTTTATAAAAGGGGGAAAAATATACTACTTTTCCAAGTTGCACTGGTAAAAATGCTATTATACTAATCTTTGAAGGTGGAATTATGAACATGTTGAGAAATCTGGGTGACTGTATTTAACAGCCAAAATTGGTTTTAGTGACAGTGACGTGATCAGTCTGACCTCCATACATTTCCTTAAAGAATTAGTCGTGAGATTTTGATAAAAGAGCATTTTCCTTTAAGTGATCATTTTAGTAATTCTCATAACCATTTCTCTCTATTATGTTTTGTTATTGTTAGGAGAAAATTAATGTTGGTCACTCCTGGGACTTAAAGGGATAATTAGAATTTCTTACGAATGACCCACCTCTCATTGGCGACTTCTACCACTTTGTTTGGGAATACAGTGTTACAACAACTGGTAGTCGGCGAGCAAGCTCTCACAGAACGCCCCAGAGAGCTTGCCAAGTTTTTTGCCCCATGTAAGAGTTCACTTGATACAACTCATACCATCGCCTCCCCGCAGACGTCCTTTGGGGTTCGTTCGTCACGCATTCATTTCGAACGCGTGACGAACAAACCCCAAAGGAAGTCTGCGGGGAGCCTACTCATACCAGAGAAGCTCACTGTATTTACTACGCAACTCGGGTATGAGAGGAACTTTTATGACAGCAGGGAACTGCTGATGTTGTAACCCAGAAATTGTATCTGGTAGATTCTCCTTACATAGACCTATTCTCTGAGGAGACCCCCTGTAGTTTGACTCAACTACATGCAAGCCATAACTGAATCTCTGCATTTTAAGGATTTTGCCATGAGCAAATGGTTGCTATCAGAGAGATGCCCACATTGAGATGTTTCTGTATTGGGAGATTTGTCTGTTAATCATCAATATAACAAAATTCTCAAATCTGATTGGCCTATCAGCTGTACTGATTTCAGCATTCATAGGAGAGTGTAATAGAACATTACAAGTCATGCCGCAGAAATAATATTACTTACTTATTATACAGTATGCCCCATTGCATTCACACTTGGAATGGCTTTTCTTCCACTTCTTGCAAAAAAACTGGTATTATTTTGTGCTTCAATTATAAAAAAGGTTAAAATATTACAAATTTTGTTAGTCATGATTTTATTGGTAGCAGAACTTCTTGTTGTCCAATTTGGTTGGCAATCATACTTGTGATTAACCAAATTGGGCTTCAACGATTTTGTTAATCAATTGTATGGTTACGTACAGAATTGGACTCCACTCAGTCCATTTACCATCATTTATAACGCAAATAAATGGGTAGGTTTGACCTCAGTAATGACTACCGTTGATTGCAGATAGTACAAAAATAAGCTTTATTTTCTTCCATCATTGATGTGTGACCCAACATGTAACTTATTACAGACTTCACAATCGTCTGAAAATGATGCCAGTTCCAAAAACACAAGTTGAAAAATTACTTAAGGATACCACAAAATATCCAATGCCATTTAAGTCCCGTAACAATATACAAAGACACGCTGACAGCAGTGAACACAAGCAAAATTATCCCACATTTGCTCTAATGATATTTCAATGCTGTCAAAAATATATATATTTTTGTAACTTCTCATCGAGGTGAGTCACTCTTTTTGTACAGTCCTTGATGGATACATTTGTTAAATTCTTACAATAATTGAATTTTATTTATTTGCCTGGCCAGCAGGCATTTCTCCTTGCTTGATTGACTTGATGATAAACAAGTTCATTCACAAAGTCAATGAACTGTAGCTTTTGCTGAAGTTGTTTTGTAAGCAGTCTAAAGCAACAACTCTACCATTACAGATCATGTATGTCTGCAATATAATAATTTTGTTGCATGACTTTATATATTTCGCTAATGTTTGATACAATGAGTTCCAATTCAACTAAAAGATTCCTTCTATAAAATCTTCTACTTTGCTATTTGTATGATTAAACATTTATTACAAAGGTGATTTTGGGACATATTGGGATTGGGACCAAAGGGATGAAACTTAGTTGATATATAAAAGAGTTGATGTTAGTGTTAGTGTATTTTTATAAACTGAATGTGTGCATACATACAAGTAGCCAACGTTGGTGAATGCTAAGCTTCAATTGCAAGACGGCAAATGTGACTTTTACACTGACGTCCACTCCTCAATAGAGACTATGATCAACAAGAAAACTCTGTTGTGTGCCTATTGCTCCCCAAAAATCAACTACCCAGTTTAAAGAGTAACAATAGCTATTTATGAGTCGAAATCTTTTAAGTCAGTATACTCTATATTCAAATCCATACAAAAAGGCACCATGTGAATTGTGAGGTAGTCTTACTTTCAGGGTAATGCACAAAAATTATTTAGAGATTTTTCAAAGGAATGAAACATTAATCATGTACATCAAAGTCCAAGACCAGGAGCTTGGTTTCTTCTGTACCATTTCTGCTTCCCACAGCACAAACAAGTTTCTTTTCATCACATTTTACTCTCCAAACCACACCACCACTACCCCCACTGTCCAACTTCACAAGATCTCTGATGAACTCTCCAGTGCGCAAATCCCAGATTTTCACTGTGCCATCATCTGAGCTAGTAATCACAAAGCGGCTGTTGAATTGCAGGCATGTAACAGCACTCTGGTGCTTATTTGGACCTGCTAGGGTTTGCAAACACTGACCAGAAGTGATGTCCCAGATTTTAACAGTTGAATCAGCATTCCCAGACACCAAAGTATTGTTCTTAAGTTCCATGCCACTGGTGAGTGACTGGTGTCCAATTAAGGTGTGAAGGCACTGACCAGTCTCCACGTGCCATACACGTATTGAGGTGTCCAGTGAACCACTAACAATGTACACACCATCAAATTGTAAGGAGTAGACCCTGTTGGTATGCCCTTGTAGAGTGTGTATACACTGTTCTGTTTCTGGGTCCCAAACTTTTACAAGGAAGTCATAAGCTCCACTGACTACACGTCTACCATCGTACTTCACACTAGGAAACATAACAGAACAGCTTTCAAGTCATGCTCATTTCTAAATTCTTAACGTACATGAACAGTCAAATCTTATGTATAAGTTGCATAATCACCTTACATGAACATAAAACCTCATCCCTTTCTTCAGAGCTCAAGAAAAGTCCTACATGGTAGTCCAGGACAAATAGATTTTATCACGGGGTAAGTAACTCATAAAGCTTACTTGCCCAACCAGACAAGTTATCTTCTAACAAAATCATTAACTAAGATGAGTAAGAAGTGGTCCCAGGCTAGCAAAATGTGCGAGTAGCTGGCCCAAAGAGCAAGCTGGAATTCAAGTTTTTTTGAATCCTGCTTTTGCACAGAAACCTTTTAATTGACTCTGTTTTCAAGGCCAACTAAAAGCATTCACCTCTGCATTTACTATGTAGGTAATTCTGACAACAAGAAGTTCAAATGAAAAAGCTATTGAAACTAGACATGGGAAATCTGAGTGAACTACTACAAAAATTATTTTCCAGTCAATCAGCACCTCTAAAATACCCTGCGGCTACAGTTGTCTACAGTGACCTTAACTATCTGCAGCAGGTTTTTCAGAGCCCAGTGAGCTCTAATTCCTGGTTTCCAGTAACAGAGAATACAAGCTGGCATAGTGGTTATGCCTGGCTTTGTGCTGATTGTCTTTCAAATAACTTGGGCCTTGAAATTCCTGATATACAAACCACTTCACGGATATCTACCACAATATTTTTTACATTGAAAACAGTATAAATGGATGATCTGTTTCTTGCTGATGTAGAACAGGGAGGAGAAATATATATATGACTACAGGCGAACCTCCATAAAGCGGCCACCCTTGGGGTACCAACAAGTGGCCACTTATTGGAGGTTGGCTGCTCAATAATTTATAATCTTTAGCAGAAACATCACTTTATTTTGAAACACACATGCGACAGGAGCAGCATTGCTGGTCCACAATCAGTAGTCACATTCTATCGTGGACTGTATTTTCTTTCTTCATATTCTTAAAATAAAGCCTAACTAGGTGTATCAAGAACTCTTGGGACAGCCAAAAGGTGGCCGCAGTCGCTTAATAGAGGTATAATTCCCCATTCTTTTCTACAATTATTTCGGGACTTTTATTACTGGTCACTTAATACAGGGTGACCACTTAAAGGAGGTTCAACTGTATATCTATAATCCTACTTACCATCTCACTGCCGCAAGATGGCCAACTAATACATGAAGACAGTTTCCAGAAGATGTATCCCAAACTCTTAGAGTTCCATCCCTGGAGCCACTCACTACAGTGTTATCATGCATGTCCATGCAGCGCACAGTGGATGAGTGTCCATACAGTGTATGCATGCACTGTCCAGTGTCTGCATTCCAAACCTTGAGTGTTCGATCAGTGGAGCCACTGACAATTACATTACCACTCAGTTGGGATGACCAGACTCCACCTGTGTGCCCCACAAGAGTGCGGAGGCACTTGCCAGATAGGGCAGACCACACTTTCAGTGTGCCATCATCAGAACCACTCACGATTCTACTACCACAAAACTGAAGACATGTAATAACATGGTCGTCATGTCCTTTGAGGACTTTAGATGGGCGTAATGGTCCCATCCTCCAATTCCAATAAATACGTTGTTTTGTCATGAAAAGTTTTTTAAATGGGCTATTTAAAGCTTTGGTAGTTTGGTTGACCTGTTGTGAACCATTAGATCTGCGTCGGACACACTTGACAGGATTTAGTGGCTCTTCTTCTATCCTTGCTTGCTTACACTTCTGTTTCCAAAGCCTATTAAATGAAGACACAGAAAAGTCAGATTCATAACCTTCATGATACAAGGAAATAGACATATATATTCACAAAACACTGACAGGGCTGCAAATAACAGTCGGCAATTGGCCATTGGTTGACCAAAATTTGCTTGTGTCCAACGAAATCCCACCTGTCTTTGGACATTATGTCCGGAGAATTTTTTTATCAGAAATCATTTTACGGTAAGGAAGAATAAAAATCTACCTTGAGTAAATTTTACTTTGTGTTAGGACAATCTCAAAGTCACAAATCAACACTGACTTGGGTAACGAACTTTTCTTTTACATTACCATAGTAGGTCCTCTATTTTACCTGAAAGGTAGCATAACGCTTTTAGAAAAGCAGCAAGATTTTTCTTTTTGTTCTTAGTTTTCAAGAGTCATCATGGTAAAAGTTTGCTATGAATTGAAAACAATTCACAAATTATAAGCGCCAGTGTGGTAGTCTGTTGTCTCAATGCGTCTAATTATGTTATTCATTACTTGACAAAAAGTTTCTGCTGGAAAATTAACCGGCTCATTTTAGAAGGGTTTGCACTGTCATTCATTAGTTTATCTGTACAAGCACAGGATATGAGTGAATAAGTTTACAAATGTAACCAAAGATATCATTTACCAAAGTCAAACATGACAAGACTGCATGGTGATGTCTGACCAAAATTTTGTTTTGTCCGACCTAGATGGCATCTTAATAGGACAGATGTCCTTTTAAGAATAGAAAGTTATTTTGCAGCCCTGCATTCATATATCCTTTCGATGTTACCTAGTCATATACCAAACATATCGGTTTATTATGTGCTTATAAAGTATGTACATTCCAGTATAAAGATTTGGTACTTCATAGAGATGAAAGTATAACAATTAATTGTTCGGGACAAGTTTTCCATTTTGCCTGTCCAAGTTAACAGGTTGTATTTGTCACCAATTTCTTTTTAAGGTGACTTGAGGTAGAAAAGAGAAAGTAGGCCTACTCACAAGTTGTCATCACAAAGAGTTTGCCAACATTTGCAGGTTTGAGCAGCACGCAGCAAGTCCTTGGGTTCCAAAAATGACAGAACGTACAAAGCGAGCTCTCTTGGTAACAGAGATATGAAGTCCCGCTGAAACCTTGGTTCAATTGTACCCATAATATGCCTCACAATTGCAGGTTCACAAGTCTCAATGATTTCGTCGAGAGCGTACTTCCGCTCCTCCACTGACCACTGGTGAAATGTGCGCAACCATTCATCCAGTCCTGCTGGGGAATGGCCGCAGAATGACATGTGTCTGCGGCGGCTGTCAACAGGACTCATCAGAGGTGTTGCAGTCTTAATTGTCCCATAATTTCTAAGGGGAAGGAGTTTTAGCAGTCTCTTGTGGGCTGGGGTACAAAATTTCTTTTCTGGTGATGTTTTCTCACTTTCTTCATCATCAAACTGATGACTACTGCTACATGAAAGTTTCCGTTTCGCAGATTCGCCACCATTTCCTTTTGGTGTGCTTTGTCCCTTACTTGACGTCCGTGGAGGAGAACACCTTCTATTTAACGAGGGTCTTCCAGTTTTTGCTTTAGCAGAGCCTCTTGTCTCGCGTCTGGTAACAGATGACGTCGGTGTACAACACAAGCCATTTTTGTTGACATCAAAGAAAATTTTTCCGATTCCTTGGATAACTTTCAAGTCTTCGATACTCGAAAAACCGCCCAAGGCAGTTCGTACTTCCACAATACTCTTCGCTATTGTTCTTCCCACTCCACTTAAACTCTCAAGTTCTTCGGTCGTGGCTCGATTTATGTCGACAAAACGTCCTGGGCCAGCCATCGACGTTCCTGTGAACGGCAAAAACAACAAATTTAAGTCTTGAAGAAAGCTGAATGTTAGACCTGCACCGCTGTGAGCGACGCGACGGACATAGATAAAGCAAACAATATGGGTCCTTCATCAACAAACCATCCATTTCTCTTGCACAATACATTTCCTGTAACTCACGAAACCTATTCTCGCACGATTTCTCATAATTTTCAAGACTCAATCTACTAAAAACAATAAAATTTATCCATTCTGAAGTTGAAAGCTAGAAATGATGGCTATTAGAGCCAGCGTGACCGATGCCGAACCGAAATCAGGTTGGTACGCTCACACACCATACAGAAGGAAAGCCGCATCAGGTACCTGTCAAAAAGACCGCGAAATCCATGTTTCAAGTTTTCGCGCAAAGTTAGGACTTTTTTCAACCCCAAATAGTAAATGAAGTAGTGTTTTGTATTGAACACAAAGTATAATTCCGCATGGAAAGGAAAATTGGTTTTAAGTCAACAAAAACATCGCCATAGAAAAGCTTCTTGACACGTTTGATAACACGTTTCATTCCCTTTCAATATTTTACCTGTTGTTATAGAGTGGAAAACCTCGTGAATCACTTAATCGTATTTTTGACAAAATTTGCCGTGGGAAAAGATTTAAAATACGTGAATTCGGGTTAAACTGTCCCGACTAGCGACACGAACATCCGAGGAACTCAATCATCCGATCAATCACGCACGAATCCAAACAAAACGTGCACTAAAAACGGGACAACAAACCAATTTCTCACCTTTGTTAATATCTTGTAACTTCTGACAAGCATCAAACAGTTTTTACAGCCTCAATTCGGCGGGCACGTCATATAAAAAATCGACTAGTGCTTTCTCCTGACCGGAAGGCGAGAAGAAAACACAAGCTCCTTGAAGCCGTTGCTGCCAAGAACAAAGATGGCGCGATTCACGTAAGTCGCACGAGGACCTTGGCCTCAACGTCACACCCTGAGTGGACTGCGCTACACTTCCAAATATGGAGGACAATTCCTCCCAAATATGGATTCAAAACGATTGCTTTTGTTCTTAGGATCCTTCTTATTGGCCTTCGCCAAATAAGGCTTATTGTCTCAAGATGGAACGCCTGGGCGATTTTATTCTTACTTTCTCCCATTCCCGAAAGAAAGTTCTGTTTTGAGAGTTTTATTGTCGTTATTTTCGACATGGCAGGCGCAAGCGGGAAAAATGATAACTTCAGAAGGACATGGGACAGAGAAGAGTATGAAAAGAAAGCTAAAGAACGAGCGCTGGATGATTCTGACGACGAGGATGATTCGAGTTCTAAACGGCGTCCATCTGCCCCGGTGAAAAGAGAACTTCTAAAACGTAGAGGTTATGATGTAGATCTTGAAGCCAACCTCGGAAAATCGGTGGTGATAACCAAAACAACGCCGCTTTCACACACTGGAGGATATTACTGCAATGTCTGTGACTGTGTTGTTAAAGATTCTGTGAACTTTCTGGACCATATTAATGGCAAAAAACATCAGCGAAATCTGGGCATGTCTATGAGAGTGGAACGGTCTTCTCTTGATCAAGTCAAAAAACGTTTTGAGATGAATAAGAGAAAGAGAGAAGAGGAAAAGCAGAAAAAGGAAAAGGAGTATGATCTGGAGGAGAGAATGGCTATTTTGCGGGAAGAGGTAAGATATAGAGAGCTAACTAATGTTGGGTTTGTCAGGATCGAAAATCGTGGTTGAAGAACAGAAGTCCATTTAAAAACATCACTGAAAAAATAGACTGTGTAGTCTTGCACTGGGCATGTTTAAAACTCGAAATGGCGAAATGACAAAATGACTTACCTAATTGTAGCAAAGAGAAGAAGTTTTTAACTTGTGGATACCCAAAGGGTATCTGCCAGTTGTTCTGATGGGCTGCAATATGCAAATTTGTCATTCACTCAGGTGTGTACATGTAGCTGTCAAAGTCAAAACAGCATATTGTCATTGTTGCTGAAGTGCACTTTAAGTGAGCAGTAACTCACCCCACCTTGTTAAAGAACACAGGGAACAAGGTTGTTATGCTCACGTTTGCTGCAGAAGCATAAACACTCGTTGTTGATGCTATCATTTCTGTAGGTCATATATACATTACAAGTGTCTCAATCATAAACACTGAAATAGTCAGGGCTCAAAGTTAATGACCAACTGGTCGCATATGCGACTGGATTTTTGGTTGTGTGCCTAAAAACTCATGTGTAATGACACCTGTGCACCATAAAATCCAAAGCATAGTGCAACTGACTTGCTTCCGACCATACTTACATCCTTGAACTAGAAAGACGCTAAACAGTAGGTTCAAGCAATGAAAGTAAAAGTAGGATAGAAATAGCACAACCAGGCTCTCAATGATAAGTTACATTGTTTTTCTTTCATCTGTGTATGTTTGACTCATCTCGTCTTTTCTCCCAGTGGATTCCATGAACTCGAATGTTCATTTTTGTTTCGATGTTTTACTCCATCCCAGATTCTTCCGTTTTGTAATAAATGCCGCTGACACATGCAATTATGCTACTAACGAAAGACGTGCTTTTTGCGCAATGGACAATCATGTCGAAAGTTCAGTTTTAAGGGCAATCAAATAAAAACAGGGCATTTAGTATACAAGATCAAATGCTGCGACTGCTAGGCTACTTACATTGGTGAAACCGGCAGAAACCTTAGCACACGACTGACCAAACACAAACGAGCGACGAGGAATGGTGATGGCAACAATCATATTACTGAACACCATTTACAGACGAAACATCAAATTGACTGGGACTCTGCGACATGTATTACGTATTCTACAGACTACCGTCAACGACTTACTTTAGAAAGTTGGTTTACTAACTTAGAACAAACGCTACTGAATCGTAGCCAACAGTTACCAGCGCCGTACAAAGGACTTATTGACGAGATCAAGCAAAACTAACTACGAGAGAACGACTGGAGAACTGACAATTTGACTAACAATAGACGACTGTTTAACTGTGACAATAGACAAATCGAAACGCACCAATTACTGATTATGAGTCTTCATAGCCAATAACATCATGGCTTAACTAACAGACGACCAATAACATCGCAATGTAATTGACCAATCAGTTCAATAACCAGAGTATAATACTATCAACTGACGTGATACAACTCACTTTGACTCTGAAGGTGACTACCGCATAGGCCGTTGTTGAAACGTCAGTCACTGTTAACAACAACAGTCCTATTCAGCACTATGTTCACCCCGACGATCAAACTCAACCTACTTGTGAAATGACTCCTGGGTTCAAACCTTTCACAATTATAAGCTGTGCTCCTAAAATTTTCAGCTGTGCACTTAAAATTTCGGCAGTGGACCTAAAACTTTACATCTGGTAGCACAAGTGCTCCTGAACTCAAATTTAAACTTTGAGCCCTGAATAGTTTGAATAATAAAGATAGAATGGTGCCAGTAAATTGCATTATTAACATTGTTTATTGTTTATACTCCATACTTCACAGTCTGTTTAAAAGGGGTTCTGGTAAAGAACGAATTACAGTCTGGACTAAAGTCATCTTCAAAGATGTTTTATGCTGAAAAGCTAGTATCATATTCAGAAAACAGTAACAATTATTACAGTCAAGACAGGTCAAGCATACCCTCCAAGATTCTATTAATGACTTGATTATTTAAGAAAAGAAATGAATCCGTTAGTTGTTCTTGTAATTGGTGTCAAATTCAATTGGGCATTTCTGCATGTGTAATGAGCAGTGAATATGTTATGAGAACTTCTCTGTATTTGGACAGATTGAAAATCTTTGAATGGGTGAAATGTCTTAGAAGACCTTTACATCAAATTCAGAAAAACTGAGCTGTTAGAAATTTCCTAACTGCCTCGTATGTGAATTCACGCTCGTTAGGCATGCAAGAATACAGAGATGAATCTGAAATCTACTAGGACCAATGGATTCAACTTTCGAATAGTAAATTCATTAATGAAATCTTGGGGGGTACACTTGACCTGGCTTGACTGTAATGTAAAAAAGAAACAATCAACATAGAACTTCCCTTGAATTCCTAGTTGAGGCAGGCAGGTTGGATTGAGTAACAAAAAACTTAAGTATTTTATCAGGTGCCGAACTACAATACTCGTCAAAAATCTTTGAAACAGAAACTATTTCTCTTGAATTGTCTCGAAAATTTCTTACATTCATTATTCACACCTTTGTTCTCAGCTCACTTGTGCCCCTCTCCTTCCCCTATGTTGAGCCATGCATATATTGGAGCACTGAGACGATTGTAGCACCCAAATCAACATTGGGGAAGGGGAAACGCACGCAAGTGAACATTCAAGATTTCTTACAAGTATTATAGAATAAATACTGGCCAATCCCCTAAATGAGTGGCGAAAGCACAAGCTACTAGGGGTTGTCCGGGGGTGTGCTCCCCGGGAAATTTTTTGGATGTTAACCCCCCAAAGTCCCCTTTCCTGGGTTTCTGAGTCATTCATAAAGGATATTTACTGACTGTCCAAACTACTTTCCAGATTTCAAGTTGGGAAGTTTTTTGTTTCTTTTAAAATACATTAATCATGAAAAATCTGACTGATTTCCATAAAATGGTGGAAGCCGGTGTGGATCTGTGCCTGTTATTAAGGTGCTCAGTTTACAGGGAATTGGATGTTTACCATACAATGAAAGGATAAGTTTTGAATTACAGTAAATACATGACATCAATGAAATAGAAATTTCTGTATCATTACATTATGATTCTTTATACATGTATGTGTTTCATTGGTCTTCCTCTGGCCAGTTAGAAGCTAGATATCCTAATGCATATTCCTTATTAGCTACTCATATAGCAAGGCTGCTTGGTTTAAGTGTCATTTTATGCTTGGTTCAATCAATCATTATCTTCTTTGTTTCAAACTCATTATCAGACACTACTATACCCTAAAGCAAAGGAAATAAAATGTGAACCACAACATATATATTTCTGTTATCTGATCTAGACTATCAAGGTGCCAGCTGTTCAAATATTCTCAAAACTGTAAGAAGAAAATGTTTTAAAACCCTTTAATGCCCAAGAGCGTCCAACCTCAAATATCTCCTAAGAATACGCCATACATCATCAAGTGAAAAGTTATGAGAAGTGATAAAATTATCAACAAAGAGAAAATGCTTTAATCTTCAATCAAATTCTCTCAACTTATTTTATTAAAGACATGTATTTAGATTGTTCAGGAGAATTTTCATGTGGATATTATCACGGACACTTTTTCAACATGTACTTCTATGCAATTACAAAAATAGAGGATATTACATGACCGCGCGGAGATACGAAATTCCTCTTTGAGTGAGCGCAGCGAATGAGTGAAATATCTTTTCAACATGAGAAGAGAAATTTCGTATCTCCAAGCGGCCATGTAATGTTCTATTTATTATATAAACACCAATGAAATACCAAACCATTTCACTTTCATAGTTTTTTGGTGTGAAAGGCGTGATTTATTATGTAGCCTTAGCAAAGGTGATATTTTCACATGTGAAGATATAAGTTTTTGTGCGAAAGCTCACCTGGTATTTCATTGGTGTTTATATAATAAACATTGATATTATTTCTCCTCATTGTTTTCACCTAAAGGAAGAGCAGAGGAGGCAACATAGGAAGATTGCACGGAAAGAAAAGAAACAAAAGACTGCTGTGGATGATGGAGATATTGATCCAGATCTGGCTGCTACTATGGGATTCTCTGGTTTTGGTAGCACCAAAAAATAACATTGGTGTTTTCTTATAAAATAAAATAACAACAATGTTATTTTTGTATTTTTGTTCATGTTTGTCTTTAAGATGTCAAAACTACAGGCCTTTTGTTATGCGGTTGCCAGTGTCTGAGTTGTTCTGTAAACTTGTTTTAAAACCCTAATAGTGATCAAATGAAATTTCGCCTTGTAATATCAATGCTTTATAGAGCAGTGTGGTCATGAGTATTAAGGACATGATCTCAGAAGATAAATGTTATTGATAATTCAACAACTTTTCATTTTTTCAGGAAATGTTTAGGAACAAGAAATGAGAAGTTGATTTTAAATATTAGTGTTTAAAGGGCTATAAAGGATCTTCCAAGATGTTAAAACATACTTGTGCCACACATTCAGGCTTGCAAAACAGTTAGCTCCATGTTGAATGTATGTAAGTATTATTTATGACCAACAGTAAAGCTTTCATCCAGAATTCAATGTTAATTTTATGCTACTTTAGTTATGAGGGTCCCCATAAAAGAATAATTATGAAGGCAATTCCTTTTTCTATTAAGCAGGATTAAATGCTTTTCCTTGTTGTTTCTCCTTAGTGGATAACCAAAATGTTGTTAAGAAGGCTCCCTTGCATGTTTAGTTTATCCAGACTTCCTGTCTAAATGTTATTTTATGTTTGCATTCATTAGAATATGTGTACAGTTGTCAAGCTTTTTCCAGACTCAGCAGTAAATAATAAAAAAAATCTTCTTTGCAATGCCCAATTAAGAGCTGAATTAAAATGTGCTTTGTGAATCGTATCAGGGGCACTCAAGGAGAGTATAGTTCAAAACCACTTAAACATAGCATTGTTAAACGTATTTTAGTATTTAAACTGTAGATATAGGCAGATTTCTATCCCCTACTAATTTTTCATATGTTCGGATTTCCTATCTGAAAGTCTAGTGATCCGAAGATTATAGGGATCAAAACTTACCTTTTCGAAAATTTCAGCCAGAAAAAAGGCTCCCGAAAATTCTAGGTGACCTTTTTAGGGTAAAAATCCGTCAAAAATGGGTACCTATACCATTTTTTAGATGTTCGAAAATCCCAGGAGAGGCAGGCAAGAAAGAAATTTTACAACAAAATAAATGTTCCGAAAATTCTAGACCTCAAATCGTCTTCGGAACAAATATTTTCCGAAAATTGACGTTGGGTGCCCCTGATCGTATTAGTTATTGGAATTCTGTTATGATTATTTTCTTGATTTTGTATTTTTCTGGCACAATGATTCCTCAATTGCATACACTTTCCATCACCTATTATGTGTTTTTCTTATCTAATCTAAGGGAGGCGATGTTTCACATACCCTTAAGGAGTGGGGCTGGTTAACTTCCTATCCACTGGATAGTGCAATTGGTTTCCCTATTACCTATCAACCCAGTAGTGATATATCTGGTAGCTATGACGCCATCATTTGACTAAAAAAAACCAACAAACAAAAACCTATATGTGAAAATTTTGTTTTCATTTTGTTTTGGACATTGAAGTCTCCAAGCTGTCGTCACAATCTAAATAAAACATTTTTTCCTGTAATTCCTCGGTCTTTCGTTAGTTTTTACACAGCATCCGGTACATCAACCTCGTGATCGACCTCTCGGTTCAGTTTCAATTGTTAATTTATCACGAAAATCGATAGTTCCAGAATTCCTCTCAATATTTACTTTATGGTTTGGATTACTCATTAATATTTTCCGTAACACTGAAAATTTTAAATGCGGAGATAGTGAGCTTAAGGGGTATGAAATATCTTTTCAGTCTTAGAAAGCCAAACACAGGATGTAGAATGTGGTACTGAAGAGTTATTTCGTTGGCGTGACTCTACTGCTATCAACTCACGTGAGAGGGCCGAAAGGTTTCGATCACGCATAGTGAAATGTTTCAGGAGTTTAAAATTTCATCCCGCTTTGTAAAAGTGTTCAAATTTGTTGCTAATTTTCAGGAGTCGTTAAACATGTCTTAGAGAAAGAAATCAAACCCGTAATAAAAGAACAGTGAGATATTCTGTCCCAAGGAAACTTGGCTCAAGTGTGGGTATAGGGTTTGAAACATGGCACAAAAAAGAAAGCTAAATACTTACCCAAGAGCTCTTTTTTTAAAGCCCTGTTTAGGAAGGCACGCGCCGCTAAGGTATAATCTCACACAGAACCGCTCGGCAAGCAGCAAATAGAACAGTCAAACGGTCGAAAAGTTGCAGATGAGGTCGATTGACATTTCACTGAACTTGGTCACTTTTTCTTCGGGCACCAGCCTGTTGGGATGGCTCATAGGATAAACTGGCTGATCATTTGTCAAATTCTCTCAAAATCTGAAACTGGTGTTAGAAGTAATTGGATACTTTATGTGGCCTTCTTTAATGACTGCTGTCCGGCCCCCTGCTTTCGTTTTCGGTTTATGTGATTCATGATGGAGTCTTACTCAGGTAAGTAGGGGTCTCGTTTAGAGCTATTTTCAACTTCAAAACAGGAAAACAACTACTCGATCAGGTCTCTTGAATTTCATGAGTTCTGATCAGTTCTGGCGGTGATCTTATAAAAGACCCAACATCTAAATAGGATCGAACGCCGGCGCGGAAGAATATGCTTAGTCATCATCTCTAGCTTGGCTTTCCTCCAGGGGCACCCAACGAGAATATAGTTCAAAACCACTTAAACATATCACTGTTAAACGTATTTTAGTATTTAAACGGTGGATATAGGCATATTTTTGTCCCCTAAAAATTTTTCATCTGTTCGGATTTCCTAGCTGAAAGCCTAGTGATCCGAAAATTATAGGGATCAAAACTTACCTTTTCGAAAATTTCAGCCAGAAAAAAGGCTCCCGAAAATTCTAGGTGACCTTTTTAGGGTAAAAATCCGTTAAAAATAGGCAATTATACCATTTTTTTGATGTTCGAAAATCATAGGAGAGGCAGGCAAGCAAGAAATTTTACAACAAATGTTCCGAAAATTCTAGATCTAAAATCGTCTTCCGAACAGATATTCTTCCGAAAATTGTCGTTGGGTGCCCGTTTCCTCATCTTTCCCTGGGAGAGTACATAGCCGGCCTTCACTTTCGCTCTTCGCTAGTGAGTACGTTTTGCTGGAGATCTAGAGACGCCTCTCTCACAACACAACAGCGGAGAGGTAGGAGAAGCAGCCGTATACGCAAGGTTTTGTAACTTCGTAATCCTTTATTTGGTTTTAAAAACAGAAGTACATACACTGAAAATTAGTAGCAGTATTTTCAGTTCGAAATGCAAAGTAGAGTGACATGGGTAGTCACTCAATCCGACGAGACGGAAAAAAGAGTGCCCAGGCGTCTTGTATTAACCTGGTTCAAACGTAGCCTGCGTTGCAACTACACTGCGAACAGAGTCTCTTTTGATCTTCCTAGGTAAGTCGGGAAGGGGACGGAACACTTCCTCTTTCCCGACTTAGCTAGGAAAGACCGAAGCGACTCTGGTAGCAGGGTACGTTGCAACCGGCCCCACACAACACCTAACCATAGTCGCTCTATACGTACAGAAGGTTTTAGACCCTGTTTAGAGTGTCTGCCGATTCAGGCTAGTTCAAAAGTCGAATTTACAAGTTCCGAGTTAGCCTGCATGCAGACCTCTCCCATTTCCTTAAAAAACAAACAAACAAGAAAATGGATGTAATTTTCACCAATATGATCTCGCGAGTCACCTAATCTCCATGCAGTCTTTCATCGATCTAACCAGAAAATCCGAAAATTGTTGGTTTTCTACGCTTATAAAATTGTTTAGGTCTTTTTATTGGGCTGCTTGTGGCAGAGCGAGTTTCAGTGGCAACTCCGACCCCCGAAGAGGGTTCTCCCCGGGGAGGGGGGTACTTTAGGAATTTTTGGGTGGCGGTGTGCCGATTGGACCCTGGAACCCTTAGCCTATACCAGAGCTAGTTGAACTGAAATTTGCTAACCTTTTCTAGACTAAACTCCCTAAATCCCCCCTATCCTAGAGTAGCTTTTAGGTCGAGTTGCGTAAATTGAAATTTGCCGATTTGATTTGATATATTTTGGGTGGCAATTCCGAGTTTCCCTAGTCTAGACTAAAATCTTCAACCAATTGATCAGTTTCCTGGAAAGTGATACCCTATTCTAGACTTAAACGCTCTGATTTATACACCCTATCCCGGAGTAGAAAGCTTGAAAACCATCCCCTTCACAGCGGCACATACCTATATAGCCCATATATGGCAGTACCCCTCCGGGGTTCTCCCTTATATAAGCCATATAGGTATGTGCTGCCCCAAAGGCCAGACGTAACTAATCGATGACATCAGTGACATCAGTGAAATCAATGAGTATTCAATAAGTACACGTAATCGATGGGTAATCAGTTGATTAGTCATTGATCATATCCGATATTCAATGAATAATCGATAGGCCACAAAATTTTCAGTCATCGATTAGTCATTGATTAGTTATATATCGAATAATCTCGCTGGTATGCAAACCATACCAAAGCGAAAACTAGCAGGACGAACAACATTAGGGCAAGAACAGTAATTGTTTTAGCTACTGTAGCTATGGGTCAATACCGCTGCTTATGAGGGAAGTCTTCCTAAGCCGAAGCAGCAGTTCTTTGCTGAGAAACAATCACCGTCAGGAGCCCATGTCACCGTATGGGATTTCTAACCACCTAGATTATTCCTTTGCCAAAGAAAGGGAACGTTACCGATTCACAATGCGAAGTTAGGTTATTACTGTTGACCTCTTTTGTATAGACTGCAAAAGAGTCGGTTTTTTTGTCAAAATCAGTAAAGAAATCGGCTGAGTGTGGCGTAAGAGTGTTACGCGCGCGAAAGCGCGCGAGCCTCACACGCCCATAGGGCGTGGTGAGGCGTCAGAAAAAAAAAAAACGTCTCTCCCCAGTCTCGCTCTCTGTTTTCAGCCTCGTTCCAGACCTTTTGTTTGACTTCCACGCATACTTGAATACGCAAAAATAAATTAAATACTTGAATCAAAGTGGGATAAATTTGTGGACAGTACCACTCGTTAATATTTTCCCTAGATCAAATTTACTCATTTACTTGTTCTATATAATGGATGAATCGAAACAACCACCTTAGACGCGGAAATCTTTTACCCGGTAGGCACTCTGCGGTGGCAGGAGCCCTCCTGGGGGTGGCTGTTTCTCAACAAAGACACAGATTCTAATAGCCAAAAAGTAAGACAGATAACTCGACCTTCTGAAAATTTCATTTTTGATATTTCAATGCTGTCTAATAAATCATTTTGCTTTGTCGTTCTGTTTTGGTCATGGCCTATATACACTGGTTTTCTACACGCAAATTCAATTTCTATTTAGCTATTATTATCGTCAAGAACCATTAACGTAAATTTTTGTCACCGCAAATAAGTTAAGAAAAAAAGTTGCTAGATATTGTATGAGATGTTTAATCAATGACTTATCGATGGATAATCACTAGATAATTGATGAGTAATCGAACGCATCAATTACTCATCAATGTCATCGATGAGTAATCGATAGGCCACAAAATTTTTGGCCATCGATTAGTCATCGATTACCCATTATAGCGCATAATCAATGACTAATTAATTGACTACCTAATGAGTACTCATCGATTACTCATTGATGTCATTCATCATCGATTTGGCAAAGGTTAGGGTTTTTTGCGCCGCTTTGGTCTGAAAACGGCTATAGATTTTGCCCATTTTGCTCTGGAATCGGGTATGGTTTACGAAGGAACTACGGTTGTGTATCAATGTGTTCGTCGTTTCAATTCCAAATGAATAAGAAAGAAAGTGCATTATGCGAATTCGAAATGAATTTTAAGAAATCCTTTTGTAATGTTGCGGTTTTAATCTCAGCAGTGATGACATAATTTCTGTTTTATGTAAACATGTAATGTGAAGTATATATGAAGTAATTCATTTTTTTGTAATGTTGAGTTTTGTGACCACCTCCCGGTCTGAAAACAGGTATGAATTTTAGGAGGCCAGGTAAGAAAACGGGTGTGGAAAATGACATTCGTTGGTCTGAAATTTGGTCAGGATTTGGAGGACCTTCGCCACACCCCCATCAAGAATTCCCAGGAGTACCCCCCTGGCTCCGACCCCCCCCCCCCAAAAAAAAGACGAAATGTCGGACGCATAACCCAGAATGAGTTGCGTGTTGTGAGTTGCGATCAGGCAGCGGTGGGGACGAACATATGACTTTTGAGGGGAGGGGGTGGTGTATTCTAAACTCCACCTGTATTTTGCGTGCGTACTTCGGTCTGATGTTATCGTTATAGAGAGGAGAAGTGTGACGTCATGTTGCCATGGTAGCACTATTTCTGGATGATAACAAAACCAACGACGACCGCGAGGGCAAGGAGAACGGCAAAAAATATTAAATAATGTGTGTATATTAAAACAAACAACAACTTAACATTTTTCCATGTGCGTTACGCTATTTTGTACATTTCTTTGCCGTCGTTGCACCACTACGACATGAAACTTCCTAATTTCACGAGTCCGCTTTATGGAGTAGGTGAACAGAACACAAAAATTTTCTTAACTTATATAACGATAGATACAGCCCCAAAGAAAATTTCGCCAAGATTTGCCAAATTAAAAGAAATTGAATAACATCGGTGAACTTTGAGATAGTGCGAATAGACTTTTAAGTGACTTTTTCGGTTTGTTGTCATCCAAAATTTTTGCTACCATGGCAACGTGACGTAACGACTTCTCCTTTCTATTAGGTCTTATAATAGTGTAGCACAGACTCAACTAGCTCGGAGATGTTTGTCACGGTAAACAGGTTGTTTTGAAAAAAATAATTGTCCCCAGAGAGTCCAGAACAGAATGTATCTCTGGAAGCTGCCATGCTATGCAGCGATATTTTCACAAGAAAGGCTTTGCACTTAGTCTCGTTTTGAAAGTGAGAGGTTTTGCTTTGGGGATCATCCCATGTATACTTTTACTACTTTAAACTGAATTTGAGAGTCAATTCGGATTGAACTTGATTGTGTTCTCAAGAGCTAAAACCTCCCTGTAAAAGTTGTGACTTATTAATAAAGTGAACTCGCAATCCAAAGATAAGATTGAAATACAGAGTTATATTTACAGTTTTTTAAGGGTTGAGTAAATTTTATGTGAACTGACGGGCTATCAAAAACACCTTAAGACTCGGAAGACCTCTACTGGATTGTGAAACTGAATTAGGATCTTCCACAATGAAACGCAGCCTCCATTGCCTCGTTGCAAGATTAAGTTATATAAAAACCGTCGTAGATAAAGCATTCAAAGTGTTATTACAATAATCTTTCTTTTAAAATTTCAACTGAAAATTAATGTTCTTTTGTTCACGCAAGTGTAAACAACATTGAGTGATTAGTCATAAATATTAAATGAATTCTGATTCTGATTGGGCCTTTTGGAGCTAAACTAGGTTATTTGCTGAAAACCCAGAACAAACTCAGCAGCACACAATCCAGATAGACCGCACCGTCGGGTCTACTTAACATCCTAATTTTTTGAAACTTTCACAGTGCGGGCGCCCCAATACATGTATCGTGACAGAGCACCAAGGATGATCAGTTTCTGATATGCGTTCGGTGTCCAAGCTGGTTTTCAAAATAGCTGGATCTCGAGGTCTTCCCATTCCAAAAAAAGAAAGAAAGTAAGAAACAAAAGAAACGAGCCCAGTATTCAGCCACACTGATCGACCCATCTTAGCGGTCAATAAAGGATTTTTACTTAGCCAAAAGCAGGAAATCCCGAGATTGCAAGCTAGCCTCATCTTGCCTGCTCGTGTAGTCAATCAATTTTACCCTAATAACACTATATAAGTTATATAGCCCATATAATGCTGATTTCACATTCAAAAATGTCCGCGGGTTGGATTTAGGGCTTTCTTTTCTCATTGCAGGGACATGGAAAAAGCTAAAATATGCTTACCTTGATAGATTGTTAAGTTCCCGTCTTCGTTTACCTGTTCCTCAGAAAATTAGGGATTAAAAGGAATGTTTAGTACATCAGATATCACTCAATTGGAAGCCTTGCAACTGTTCCTGCTGTTTTTAGGTTCCACTATTTCTTCCTCACAAAATATGTGAAATTTTCCGCCATTTTCTTCAGCAGGTCTAACAAAACAGCTGAGCTAACGTACCCTCGTCCCGAACGCTCGGCTCCATCCTTTTTTCTGGCGATATCCTGTACTACTGTCGTCATTAACTGGATATCGCAAACTTTTCCAAATTTGGTTAACGTTAGCTGGTTATGAAGAAACAGTTTGGGGATTTGAGCCAATCAGAAACGGAGAAATATTTTGAATGAACATTAAAAGCAATTTTTCGACGAAGCTGAGTGTGATATGAAGAATAACTCTTTGTATACATGCACACAAGCTGAATCCAATAACTGTTTTATCACTCAATCCCGTCTTTACAAATTCAGGATATAACGGGTTGTTAAGTCTAACAGTATTCTTCAAAAAGTAGTTGACATCCGTTGAGTAGTTTTTTAGGTTTTCTTGCTTATTTTTAGGTAGTAGATTGTTGACTATTTCTTCCCGATTTCTCGATCTCTGCCTAAACAACTGAGCTAACGCCCCTTCTGCTGTCCCTTTTTCTAAACAATTACGCGTAAAAGTGCTCATCTTTGAGGATGTCGGCAAACATCGGGGAAGTAACTTCAAAATTCGGTCAACGGTAGCTGATTGTAAAGAATTAGCCGGAGGAGTTAAAGCCAAAAAGAAACAGAGAAATTTATCGAACAAAAAAATATTATCATGTTTGCTTATCATGATCGGGGTCTTCTTCACATTGGGTTTCGTTATATCGACGTTGGATTGCATTTAGTTTGTTGATCTGCCACGGTTTAGAGAGTAGATTCAATATATTTACACCTATTTTTTTTTTCTTGACTTGCAGAAGACGTTACTATTACGAGCAGCAAAATGGATGTTAAGCAACCTGTACATTACATCGTGATCATTATCGGTATAACTGTTGTAATGTTTCTTTTCAACACCAGTCGTGCTTTAAAAGCCATCGAATTTGCTAAGAAATGTGCTATTTTTCTGAAAAACGCCTCGTTAAGGAAAGGTTTGCAAATAATTAAGCTCGTTCAGCTCTTCTTTATGAGAATTAAATGGATTTACATAGAAAGATGTTACCGCGTCCTAATTTGGTATAACACGAATGTAAAAGAATATGCAGATGTTCTTCCTAAACTTCCGCACGCGATCCAGAGACTTGTGCAGCGTATTCAAGATGGTGAAGGGACTGTAGCCATGATCCTGGGATGTTTTTATGGGCAGCAAGGTAAATATTTAAAGGCGAAGGACCTTTATCAGAGAGCACACTTCATCAAACAAAAAACGGGCAACAGACCGGACGAAGTCACGTGTTGTGGCAATCTCGGAGTACTTTTTAATAATCTTGGCCAATATCAGAACAGCAAAAAGTACATGGAAAAGGCAATAGAACTAATACATGAAACTGACAACAAAAAGGAAATAGCTTCATGCTATAGACGCCTAGGTTGCTTATTTAGGTTTCTCCAAGAGTACGGCAAGGCTATACAATATATCACCAAGGCACTTTTTATCAATAAAGAAATAGGAGACAGAGAAGAAGAAGCAGTGGATTATAGCTGGCTAGGAATTGTGTTTTCCCATCTCGGTGAACATGCTGCCGGTATAAAGTATCTACAAACAGCAATTGCAATCCGTGATGAAATAAGTAACAGAGCTGGAGAGGCTGAATGGTGTTTACATCTGGGAAATTGTTTTACTCAGCTTGGTTCGTATACCACATGCATTCAATACCTGAAGAAATCGCTTTCCATTGCAAAAGAAACTGGCTCATCCGGACAAGGTTTAGAATGCAAGTGTTATGAAGCTCTTGGAATTGCTTATCTCTATCTTGGTGAATATACCAAAGCTAAGGAGAATGTTGATAAAGTAATTAAAATATTGAAAGAAAACGGAAGAGACGAATTAAGTTTTCGGTGCCACGTGATTCTTGCATATGCTTTAGTTTTTGAAGGAAATACAGAAGAGGCTATTACACATCTCTTCTCGAGCATTCAAAGGTGTGAGGATTTACGCATTTTTAATTGGGACAATGACCACCTTAAGGTGCTACTCTCAGACTTTTACTTTCCTTACTATCAGATGCTCAGTGTATTGTTATGTGACAGAGGAGATCCTATGAAAGGACTGTATTTTTTAGAGCTTGGACGGGCGAGAGCTTTGACAGAATTAATGTCCGCTCATTATTTTGCTGAGAAGCAAATAACCCTGGAGCGACGATTTTACAACACTATTGAAAAGATCATTACGGAAGGAGGCGGTGACTATAATTGTCTCTACATTTCGTACTATAAGTTGAACATATTTTTATGGATTTTGAGTCCAAGAAAACTAGAGGTGAGGTTGCGGAGAATAGATGCCAAAGAAACTTTGACTGCTGCAGGATTCGCGGTGCAAGACTTAGATGGCCTTTTTGGAAAAGAGCCCTTTAGAGAGTGGCATTTTTATCCTAAAGAAAATTGCGAGGATCGATCACTTTTCCCTCTGATCTCCAACCCCTTATCATTTCATATTGAAGATGAAGACAACGCTGAAGCTTCCCGCTCACCGCTTTCTCAAAACGACAAAAAACATCAAGAACCTACACCAAGTTTTGAGCTGTTGTACAAAATTTTCATCGCTCCAGTCGTTGATGACCTCCTCGGCAAACCCGAAATTCTCATCTTTCCTGATCGTTCCTTGAACAAAATTCCTTTCGCAGCGTTAAAAGATGAAAAAGGGAGGTATCTTTCAGAGGCTTTCAGGATCCGCCATAGTCCATCTTTGACAAGTCACACGCTCATTCAGGAGAGACCAGTCAATGGGTGTAGTGATACGAGTGTATTGATAGTGGGTGACCCCGATGTTGTCTATGTGAGGCCAAGGTTATATCAGCTGCCTTTTGCAAGAAGGGAGGCGGAAATGATAGCTGGTTTGTTGCGTGTTCAACCTTTGTTAGGGTGTCAAGCAACAAAGCAGGCGGTACTTGAAGAGATGCGTTCAGCGGGGTTGATACATTTTGCTGCACATGGTGACGCTGAAAGAGGAGAAATTGCCCTTGCTCCAGAACGGCCTGTCAACAGGATTTTACATGAAGACGATTTCGTGTTAAAAATGTCAGACATCTCCGAGGTTCAACTTTCCGCGAAATTGGTTGTCCTAAGTTGTTGTCACAGCGCATATGGACACATTAGAGCTGAGGGAGTTGAAGGAATAGCTCGAGCGTTCCTAGGATCCGGTGCACGTTCAGTTTTGGTGGCACAGTGGGCCTTAGACGACAAAGCAACAGAGAAGTTTATGGGACGTTTCTACAAGCACCTTGTGTGCGGTAAAAGTGCAAGTGAATCTCTTCACCAGGCCATGAAGTGGATGCGAGAGAACGGCTTCCCAGAAGTGAGGCAGTGGGCGCCTTTTAAGCTGATTGGAGACAACGTGACGTTTGATTTCAGAAAGTAAAGGTTAGTTTTTTGACGCAGAAATATGAAAAACATATTCGTGCGCATAGTTTGTCAGTTGAGATTCTTTGTTTCACCACCTTCAACAACAGCACGGTTCCCACGGTTTCCCTTCAGAAAATTTGGAGAGGTGGCCCCTCTCAATTTCCAGAGAGAAAAATTGCGAACAAGCTTGCTTCAACAAGCAATCCGGCTCTACTTGTTTGAATGAAGTATTCTTTCACGTTAAGTCACACGAACAATGGTTACTCGTCAGTATTTCCTAGTTTCTAAAATCCTGTCAATGCGACCACTCAATGGCCAAAAACATGACGAGATTTTCAGATATGAAAATTTCTGAGATTTTTTCAGTTTGCCTTCGCATCAAGGAAATGTGATGGCCAAACGGGGTGGTCTTGAGGCGTGGTTTCACAGTCAGGTTACAGGCTTAGATTAAATGTAAGGCTTCTCTCTTTCATAATGCCATCTTTACAGGTAGCCATTTTGACTCCTGAAGGAGGATCAAGAGGTTATCCCTATATTAATATCTCTCCTAACAAATAACCCACCCAGCCCAGGAATCACAAGAATCAGATTAAGTAAAAGTGCAGTGAGCCTGGACTAACGGTTTTTCGTCCTTATCCAAGAATACTAGAAACATGTAGAAAGTCTAACCGTTTGTAGATGTCATTACAAGGCAGCACTTTCTGAGTATTGTGTCGGTCCGGCCTGGCTTTGAACCCGCGACCTCGCGCTCAGCAGACCGGCGCTCTCCCAGCTGAGCTTATTAGGCGGCGACTCTGTAAAGTCCTGACAGTAAAAGACACACCCAAGAAAAGAACTGGAACCCCGCTCTACGGAAACTCGCTTACTGTTCGATAACACGTGTATAACGAACAGTTTCGTTTGTCCCGACGAAAAAACAGCTATAGTTATTTTCTCTTAAGTTAACCCGCTTAATACGGACACTATAGCATGTCCCGTCGGTGTCCGTATTAACGGGGTTCTACTGTTTAAAGGCAGAGCGTTTAGTCAATCTTACAAAATATATCCCGCCTGTACTATACGTATGCAAACATCAGCATTTCGCGACAAGAGGGCTATTGTGATTTGGGCAGCCTTATTTGGTCATGTATGAAGCAGAAAAGTAGGTTTTCTGAGAACCTTCATTGCTCCATTTCTTGTTCTAAGTAATGGCAACGGATTCAACTAAACTAGAAATTTGGCACACTCTAAGGTAAAGGTGTATTAGTAGTACACTTTCAAGGCAATGATTTACTTAGAAATCTCCGGGACCTGGAAATATGCTTGGGATGCTTTGACTAGTACGATGTTTACAATATAAGTGAAAGGGTGAGTTCTGCAAGTAATGACTAAGTTTGTGTAGCTAATAAATGCCTTGTTAAGTAGGTTTGACAGGAGGATTACTTGTTTTACTCGGAGGTCCAAGGGTCAATAAAATGAATGGTGTACGGCCTTATTGTTACTGAAAAAATGTTAGTTAGTCAGATGTGCTTCATAAATCAGATAAATATAAACGATTTAACAGGCCATTTTTTGTTTTTTTATTCCTCGTAGGAGTAACTCGATTGAAGTTAGACGAAGGAAAAATGGACTCGGCTCCAGGCAAATTGTAAATACACTACTCCCGTGGACGCTCAAACGTCTGTGTTTTGTGGAATTGTTGAAGTTTGTTTGACATTGTCCAAGGGTATTTACCTGTTAATATTTAAGTAGTTAAATAGTCTTCAAGCAAAAGAAAAGAGTGATAGAAATAGTCAAATGTAAGGAACATAAACGTACGACGTGGGTGTTAATAACCGACTTGTTGACAGCTCACGCTTGCTATGTAGCAAAATATTTTAGGTTTTTCTTAGCTTTTCCAGTTTAATTGCTTATGTCCTAAAGAAGAGTTAATCATGGTTTTGAATTGTAACATGTTAATTCATTATTCAGTTTCTCAGTTTAAAATAGACTTGTCATCTCTAATCCTTTGAGCACTGTATTTTCACCGGATCGATTTCAAACTTTTTTTCCAGTCGTAAATTTGCCATTTATGACTTTTCCTGCCCCTCCCACTTTCCTAGGGAAAGGGGCTGGGGACGAGGTTAAGCTTTTTCATCTATGTACATGTTAGAATCCTTTCACAGGTTGAACTAGTATCCGAATTATTACGGACAAGTCAAGTTTTTCTGGGATTCTAACCTGTTAACCTAGGACGAACACTGGTTTAAGCTGAGAAAGGATTTTAGCTACAGCATTCAAACACTCGTGTAAAACTCGTTATTGTAGTGTTTCTCTTGAATAATATCCAGAATAGTTAACCATATAATTGGTCAGTAAGTTCCTTTGGAGTTAAGAGTTTAATAAATTATAGACTGTTTAACTTGATATATTTTTCTGTTTCTATTTTTTCTTATGTAATAAAACAGTTTTCCGCAGCTCTGGCTCTCTTCTTTTGGAGAAGGAAGTAATATTACCACATCAGGGTTATGGGCTCCTGGCCACATTGCTTTTATCGAGAGTGCCTGGCTTTACTTGAAATTGGTGTGATGATATCTTAAGATGCAACAGTAAAATGTATCGCCTTACTGTTTACATTCTTTAGAAAACAGAAAAAAGCTGGCCATTTGAATTCTTGGGGGACAGAAGTACAGTGAAAAAACTTGATACATGTGGAGCGTTGTTGTTTTGCTTATCAAAACTGTTCATGAGCTTTTTCGTTCCCTTTCCCGCCGTACTTTCGTAAGGTCCCTCAGTATTAGCTTGCGAATACAGCCATCCATTTCATACAAGCCTACCCCTTTCACTGTTAAAGAGCTCAAGAACTACAGATGGGCGTTAACCAGAGAACAGACAGGGCGTGGATCATTGAATTTTCCGCTACCTCTCTTTTTGGAATTTAATTCGATTCGGCTGATGTGAAGTACGACGCCTTAACCGGGCGTTTAAGAAGTGTGCTAAACTTTTCTTGAACTTAAAGTAGGGATGCCATTAAGTCGAATAATTGCGAACTTCCAACGCTTTCTGAAAGCCTGTTGGCAATGAATGGATGAATCAATCAATCAATTAATCAATGAATAGACGATAAAAAGCGATACTTCGATTATCACCTGTGTAATGTAGGTCGCGTAGAAAACTCTCTACTGGGACTTTTATGGTACTGACCATGAAGGTAGAAAAAAGCTACTAGAATGTTTTTTTCCTGATAGTTTGACATTTCAGCCGCCTGTTATCTACAGTCGCGTTTAAGATAAGATTGGCACTATTCAGGGCTATTACATTAAATATTTCAGTTCAGACTTGTTATTGGGCTGCCCGTGAGGGCATAGCCTGCGGACACATTTCTGGCTGTCGCTTCCCTCCACCCGTTACTTTTCGGGTGGAGAGATCAGCGACGACCGGAAATACGTCTGTGTCCGCAGGCTAGTGAGGGCAATACCCATTCAAGAAATACCTTCCATCTATGTCGAAAAAAGACAAATGGCAGACGGAACTCATAGAAGGCCTTGCGTGTCCCATTCCCCCTTCAATGGCGCCGATTTTTGCGGGGAGGGAACGGGTCATGGTCGTTAAGCGTTGAAAATAATGCCAATCGTTTCTTGTTTCAAAAAGCTAACTTGCTTATTCATAACGGTAGAAGTTACTTTACAGCCCCGGCTTAAAAACGCGCTGTCAGCAGACCAGTGAACCCCAGTTGTGGGAATCTTGTTACTGCTTTGCTGCTTTCATGAAATATATTTAAATGACCTCCAAGGTATAGGTAACACTTAACAAAAGAAGCACGCGGGCTGACTTTACAGTCGGGAATATATATATATATATATATATTTTTACTAATATTTCGGAAGGCACAGCCTTTCTTCTTCAGGGTCTTACATACAATGATGAGGTTACCTTAAATCCTCTTTTGAGCCCGCCTCTCAAATAAGCGCCCCCTTTCCAGAGGAGGAAAGTTAATAAGCCCCACCCTCCCCTCCAGCCTTATTCTTCACAAACAATGTCTCCAGCAGTCCAGGCTCCGCCACCCTTTACTCCCCAGACTACATCTCCGCTCGCTTCGCTCGCCGATTTTTTTTCGCCCACGCCGATTTTTTTCTCCTCTTTCCCCCAATGCGGAGCCTAGTACCAGGCTAAAGTGCGTCTGTCCGTGCGATATTGTTAACTCGTTGTATTTCCAGTTGAAGGAAATAGAGGTAAATAGGTACTATAAGTAGGTATGTTCACTAGCCTGTGGGGAGCAGACGATTTTTTTTGCTCTTGTTTCTCCCGCCGAGAAAAAAGCTGTTTTTTCGCCGGCGAAACAAGAGCCGAAAAAAGCGTCTGCTCCCTGCAGGCTAAGGTAACCCCCTTATCTGAAAATGATCCCCAAAAACTAGACTGTTCACAGTCCCCTATTTTTTTTTAACCGCCCCCGCGCCCTAAGTAGTTTTGACACTCATGCAAGATCACGGCAGCCCGTAACGCAAAGCCCTCGATCTCGACCATCTTACGGAAAAATAGAGGACTGTGAACAGTCTACCCAAAAACAGGAGCCACCAAAAACCGATCAAGATTTTGAAAATGGGATCAATTTAGGTTGTTGGAAAACTGCCCACCTACCCTTCTCCTTAGCCATTATTTTGCCCTAAGTGAGAAGTGAGTGTTGATGTTATCTTAGGGGAGGGGTAGGTAGGGAGTTTCCCAGAAATCTAAATTGCTCCTGAAAATGCCCCATCGTTCAGCAAAATATATAAAATGTCAGCAAGTCCACAGCAACAAACCAATGAGTGGTGTCGGATCTCCTAGTTGTAGACCTGGATCAGTGCAATTAAACTTGTATGAAACGGCAAACTGATCCTTACGGCGGCAAGGCGATGAAGAAGTAAACAAAAGAATAAAACAAGAAATATAAATGTTTAAATATATTTTTTGTTTTATTCTTTTGTTTATTTATAACAATTAAGAGAAGGCTGCCTGCCTTATGGTCCTCCATCCCCTATCTGCCCGTTTGTCACTTGCACTTTAATTAACTGTATAGATCAAATTATTTTCTGAAGGGCATCGTTTGAAAGTAGTTGATAGCAGTTTTTACCTTGTACAAAAAGTGAAGGTGCATTGTGAAGTCTGGGGGGTATACAACAAACCTGTTTTATAATATAGGCCTGGGACAGCTCACAATTAAAAAAATGAAAACGCAACCTAGAAGTATCCAACAGAGCTGAACTTGGTGGTTTTCCCCTAATTCTTGCTTTGAAAAAATTTTCTAGCTACTTCCTCGTCCTGTTAATTAAACACTCTTTTTGTACACATACAGGCACCAGGAGCGAAGTATGTAAAATATATTCCTTCAGATTATGAATCCTCCCTAATCCGAATCAGCGTTTACATATCAGCTTTCACATGGAGCACGATGAATTCGTGGTTAGGTAAGTTGTGTTCGTTTTAATAGCTTCTTCTCTTGAAGTTATAAGAAAACTGGACAAATATTTTCAGCCATGAAACAGTGAAGGAACTAGATAGGCCACGATGTGTATTTGTTCTATAGGTTGTAAGCTATTTGCCCCCGCAGGGATTTCGCACAGAAGTCGAAATCCCGAGGAGGCACTGTAGTAGCTCGCGCGTATATTAAGGAAAGTGCTTACATTTGAAATATACGTCAGTATGCCAGAAAAAATCTCGATTTGTTTGAACAGGGGCAGCATGGAATCCTTGCATAATGATGACGTTTCTATTGTTCGTGCCTGCGGGTAAGAGACGGTAAGGATGACGTAAAAAAGAAAATCCCGAAGGGACTGCTTTGGTAGATTTTGTGACATTTATTGTAGAGTCATGCTTCGATACTCTTTTGCGTTACGTGTTATCGGTGACATTCTGCGGAGTAGCTGTTTTGAAAGTTATGGACCAAAAACACCCGTTAAGCGCAGATGAAGTTATGGGGTGCGTATAACGGCCTGTTTACATGGAGGACTCCAGGTAGGTGAGGTAACCCGCTTACTAGTGGGCCCGTCTGTCCATATAATCTCTCATACGGTCACCCCACCTATTATGTAAACGTAATCAAATTAACATGAGATATTATATATATAGACAGGCGGTTTACCCCACCTAAGCATGCAGGTTATCTCACCTACCTGGGGTCCCCCACCTCCATGTAAACAGGCCCTAACTCTCTATATATAAACACTTGGAGAGTTTGCCAGACACTAGTTCACAAATCTTTGATTGGAAACAATTGGCCAGACGCTCTTCCTCTCTCTTTGGGGTAAGAAGACTCAGTCCACAAACAAGCAAGACGTCGACTGAATCAATGGCTAGCTTATCACTAGCAGAACGATAAACGATTACAGAAATTCGCCGACAGTTAAATTCTGTGCTGACTTAAAGTTTAAAAAAAGACTCGAACGCGCGAGCGTGGATTGATCAAACCTTTGAATTTCTAAGGCTTACTTAAATGAAGTGTACGTAAAAATTGAACAACAACTTTATTGACTTTATCTTCGACATGAAAGTTTCAGTACCAAGACAATGACAAATGAAAAAAGTAAAATAAAAGTTAAGTAAGAAAGAAAGGAACAATTGAATATTATCATAAAAGAAACATTTTTTTGGCTATGTACGACTTCTACGCTACCCGTATGGTAAAAATTGAAAGAGAAAAAGCGAAAAATTCCAACTTCTAATAATATTAAATCTTTTCTTATGGTTTAGAATAAACTA